GTTTGATTATTTTAGCATATTAATAATTTTTTTACAAACAATATTTACAGACATCAATTATTGCATCATTCTTCACATCAGGCTCATTTTGCGTGTACCTCTACGCTCTCTCACATTTACAAAACAGACACAGCAGTTGTGGCACTGCGCCACCTGCCGGACATTAAGGGGAAAATGTTAACAAAAGACGGTTATAAAATTAAAAATATTCGTTCAGGAAGGATCACATTACAAAGTGGTTTGATTGTATGATCAAATTTTATTTCATTCAGAAATGCAATTTGCGGCTGATAGATACGCAGACGAGATCCTGAGACCGCATGTCGTATCTTAAGCTGCAGCCATTGGTGATTATTTTCTTTTAGTAAGTCTTGTGGAAAGCTTTTTTGAAGCTGATCCAGCTTGCGTGGGATGTATTTGGACAATGTGTTGCTGTAAGACCAAGACTTGGGGAGATCGCACTTCGTCTAGAGTGGGACAGTATTCACCGAAATCTCATCGATATCCTCATCGCATCCATGCAAAATAGGAGTGAGGAAGTCGTAGCAGTTCGGGGAATCACATACAATATTAAACATCTTGTATCATTTTAGTACAATCAGTTTTTTTGTCCTTAACATGCTATCAAATTGTTGCCTTGAAACATCATTTTATGTTATTTACATATATGTAGACCAGAAATGATTTTCTTCAACTGTTGATGGACACGGCAGAGGAGACTTATAAGAGTGAGAAAAAAGATGATGTGGATGATGATGACATTGCTGCAAAATATGGACAAGATTTTGTCAACCAAACGATTTTTAATACATCGGAAAATAAAAGTAAGAGTTATTTTCATCATTCTTTGTTTGGATCGCGAGTGCGGCAATTATAAATAATTTTCGAAAAATGGTGTTTCCCCCCCCTTTTTTTTTAATATTCGGGAAATTTAAATTACTCTGTATTGAAGAGCTAAAAAGCTTTTAAAATAGAATAATCGAATTATACCGTATCCGCCGTTTTCCTAAGTAATATATTATATTTATATTATAAGAGCATCAAGAAGAAATCATGAATAAGAAATCACGTCAATAAATAATCAACCAATAAATCAAACAATATATAAATCAATAAAAAAGCGACTTTAAAGAAAATTTGCCCCATAATGGCTTTATTTAGGGTCCTTAATTGTTTTTCTTTTATTAGTTTTTTTCGGAAATATTTAAAAAAATGATGTTACTTCATCAAGATTTTATATTATTTAACTTTAATTGTATTTCAAATATCACGAAAGATGATCTTCAGTTTATACAATATCTTTAGTTATTTTCGTTCAATTCTATTTAAAATTTTGTAATTGAAGATCTTCAATGAGGCTTTGCTTTTATTGCATTTCAGGTTTCATGATAGATGATCTTCAATTAATTATTTTTCTTTAATTGTGTTTCGAATTTTGTGATAGAAAAAAAAATCTTTCATTTATTCAAGATCTTCAACCATTTGCTGTTTCACTATAAATGATCTTTCAATTTATTCACTTTTATTCTTATTTTAGACCTCTCGATGGATGAGTTGGTGGCCCAGTGTGTCATTTTCTTTTTGGCTGGTTACGAAACCACAGCAACATTATTAACGTACGTCCTGTACTGCCTGGCTCTCAATGGGGACATTCAAGAGAAAGCTTACCAGGAAATTACACAATGCTTAAAAGAGACAAATGTAAGAAAGTATTTCAACACCTCTGGCAATAGTATAAATAATAATGGATGAACGTTTTTTCTCGTATCCGCCATTTTTCTAAGTAATAACATAGGAAAATAAATTTCCCTCTGCAGAGAAGAATGGAGATTAACTTTTTAAGCGACCACCAGAGGGTTAATTTATATATCTATTCTAAGCATAATCCCGGTTGCAGAATTGATAAAGTGAATTTGCTGTTCCGGTTTAAAAAATCCTAATTTGTCTGCAACCTCAACGTAGTCAGACGCAGATTATTATTTCATTTTATTTCATAACCGGCGTTGAATATCCGACCCAATTCTGACAATGTTCGATGAATTACTGCAGTGATTCTCAACCTTTTTTTTTTTTTTTGTCGCGGCGCACTTTTAACGATTTCAAAGTTTGGCGGCCCACAAAGAAAAAGATGAGTTTAAAAATTGTTTACTTACCTATAATACACTGTGTAAAATAGCTTATGATAATAATTTGGAATGTAAAATAAAATAATATAATATGTACTAGAAAAACAACAGTACGTTTATTAAGGGATTAATTACAAATGGACAATAAGAATACTTTTAATGAGAAATTTGAGCTTGATGTTTTTTGATAATTTCATTTGGTCGTAAAAATGACAATCTCATATCGTCTTCTACATTTAACAGTCTCGATCTTTTTCCTCGTTTTTATGTTGGTTAATACTGAAAATCCGAATTCACACAAATAAGATGTATTGAAGTAATTGAATAGTTTTATTAAAATCTTTTGCGACTGACTCAAACTTTTCCAAATATCCTTCCTGAGCTTTATTCTTCCATAAAGTTGTTTGTGGAATCCCACCAGTTTATCTGTTGAGTTTAATATATTTTATTTCGACCCTTGCATACTTGAATTTATGTTATTAAAAATAACAAAAATGTCTGATAAGTAAGCTAGTTTAGCACACCATATTTTATCTTCCAACAAATGAACAAAATCATAATTTTTATTTATGTTCAAAAAGACGACCAGGTGGCCGAGTGGTTAGCGTGCCTGACTGCGGAGCCGATGGTTGCGGGTTCAAATCACGCTCAGGGAATGGATGTTTCTTTCTCTCTGTGTTCTATGTCCTTTCTCCTTTGTGTGTGAATGTGCCCCGCCCTATAAGCGGCTTTGTGGTTGGGCAACGCCCTCCACCGCCGTGGCTTCGCCACCGGTGCCCACTGGGTAATGAGAAGAGAGTAGCAGTTCTGGCACTCCTGTCCAATGGGATCCAATACATCCCCAGTGTCCGCCATTTAAAAAAAAAAAAAAACTATGTTCAAAAAAGCATTTGCATTTCGTCTTTTAATTCCAGTACACGAGATAAAACTTTTTCTCTGAACAACCACCTTACTTCCGTATGCAGTAACAAGGATTCGTACTTAGCTTCCATAGCTTGGCATAAACTACTAAATAAGCGACTTTTTAATGGTCTTGATTTTATATAATTAACCATTTGTTAACATTGTTCCAGAACTATTTTCAACTCTGATGACAAATATTTTGTAACAAGTGCTTCTCGTGTAGCTAATATGTGTAGCTAATATATCCCCATTCAGTTATTTTACATGTGCTACAAATCCTTTTAGATGTCTAGTCATAGCTGGAGCACCATCTGTGCAAATGCCAATGCATGAATTCCACGAAACTTTAATTTATTCTAAACTAGCTGTACCCTGCGTGCGTTGCAACGCTTTCAATTTGAATTTGAATTTTGTATTTAAGTGTGTAAATGACATTTGCGATTATGATTTGAAATGCAAATTTTATTTAATGGTGAAAAAAAGCAGTTAATTCTCTAGGATATCATTAGTGCATTTTCAAACAGACATGTATGGTGATGCACACGGAGCATGAAACATATTTTGGACAATGATCTGAAATAAGACTGGATCTATGGTGACATCAAGAATTTCTGCTGATATCTGATCAGTTTTAGAAGGTGGTTTTTTTTCAATAAGCCAAATTAGAATGTGTGCCTGAGGCAATCCTCGTTTTTGCCATTCAATAGAGTACACCCAACACCGTGTCTCTCTAAAAACATGACGCTTCACAATGAAATCAAGTAAAGATTATCATTTTTGTTTGAACACACGTGCTGTAATATCATGACGATCCGATGATGATTGTCCTGGTAACAAAATATCTCTAATTTCAACCCAAGCAGAATTGCACGTAAATGTAATAAATAAATCTAGGAGCCCATATGCGAGAACATATGTCATTGCATCCTGTGAGTATTCATACATGTGCCTTGGAGTCCAAGGCACATGTATGAATACTCAGACATGTATGAATACTACATTTGCAGGGAGTCCAAGTTTTTCTCCCTGCAAATGTAGTCGGCAATATAATCATTTTCCCCACATCATTAGGATTAACGTTACCATCATTAATTATTGCATCCCGTAAATGAATGCATTCTTCTGAACGTAATTTGGTTTGATTTAATTTAATATACAGTAGGCGTTCAGTTTCAATTTTCGCATACATATCGACAATGTATTGATGAACTAATTGTCGACATTTTAAAGTATGATTATCAGCGTTTTGGCAATCATTAATCTATATGCATAAAAACTTATTGCACTTGCTTTCTTATTGGTTTTCTCGCCTGTTTGCGGACTTCTTAATTTTATGTTAAAATAATATCCCTCCTCTCCTCACCAAAATAAAATAGGATATTGCAATGCATCATATGATCGATACGTTTCTGAGAACTCTTTGAACGTCACGATTTCTGCGATGAAGAACTGTATCGCGGGAGGTAAATTCTTCGCCAACTATAACAATAGCCACTTCATCCAATGTTGGCGCATTGTATTTTTCTTTGTGGTGGCCTACAGGTGTTTTTTCAGCTCTAATAACAACTTTGTAAATATCGGATGACATTTAGTCTAGGGCAATTGTGAACAGCCTAATTAACTGATTATGTTGATCGAAAAATTTTTGTAATACGGTAACAATTTTTCGTTTAGTGCCATTGTTTACCTGACAACGTTGATTGACTTGATCATTTGTGTTATCCATGAAATAAATTTGTAGAAATTTATGATCTGCGTTAGGCATTGAAAGAAGTGATCCTTGCACGATGATAAATTTGGCCTTGCACTTTGAATGTTGGGATGTAATTCTCGTTCAGGATACGTGTAGCACCGAATAAAGTCATTTAGAAACACGAATTGTACCGGCGTATATGCGCCAAAAAATGTTTCGATTGGTTTGTTTGACCTGATACGAAGGTTGATAATGTCTCGGCAGGCGACGTAAAATCTTGTAGTTTCTGTATGCTTCTAGAACAGCAAATTTCAGCTGTTTCATTTTTAAATTTGAGAGCATTACAAAACATACATAATTGATATATTTCTCCGATGATGACACTTGGGGGAAGACTATAGTTTGTTGTCGGATCATAGTGAAATGCACTGAAATTCAAATCAGAGTATTGGCAGCGTCTGAATAGCGAAATGCGTTCTCGGTCGGTTTTCATTCTTGCTTCCCGTTGCTCTGATGTTTCCGACGAACGGGCTTGTGTAGTTCGTAGTTGATTTGTTGACAGTCTTCTTTCCTGTTGCTCAGACGTTTCTAAGGAACGGGCAAAAGCATTCTGTTCTCGATTAGTTTCAAGTCTTTTTCCCGTTGCTCCGATGTTTCTGAAACACGGGTAGTTCTCTTTTTGCGCGCTTGAGATGTCGACCGACTAAGAGCGATTTGCTTAGGCGGCATATTTTTGCAAATATTCTTTCTGACAACGAAAAAGAAATGTAAAAGTTGGCAGTGGTCGCAAATTTGCTAAATCGAAATATCACATACATATTTTAAATAATAAAAAGAGCAATAAAAATGAGATGAATAAGAAATATGAAAATTATAAGATTTAAAACAAAAATCAATTTTATAAATGAAAGAAATAAAATGGATGAATTCGAAAACTTTGCATAAATAAACAAACAAACTAATAGTTTTCAAATGACAACTGTCACAGCACTGAAATCTTCGAAAAGTATATTTAATTTTGCTAACCTAAAATTACGTACTAAATATAAATATTTCTGAAAACGTGCAATTTGAATGAAATTTGCTTTTGTCTTTATATTTATTAAACAGTTTTCACAGTACTGAATCCGTGATACGACCAACAATTAAGAAATCTATTCTCGTTGATTTTACTTGCTTGTGCTCACCTGACATAAAGAAAAGCGCGAATTAAAAATTAAAGTATATGCAATTTACTTTAATTTACTTTTCTAAATGAATAGAGTTATAAGATAGAAAATATCACTGTTGTTATCTTCAAGATATTTGAAAATTGAATCGTTTATAGCAAAATTTAAAACAATGGCTAGCTTTTAACCAATCAGAAAATTCCATTTCGACTTTCACTGATATCGCTGGAACGGTTTATCGCACGGGATAAAAAGTATCCTATGTCCTTCTCCTGGCTCTAAACTACCTCCCTGCCAATTTTCAGCTAAATCGGTTCAGCCGTTCTTGAGTTATAAGTGAAGTAACTAACACGACTTTCTTTTATATATATAGATATGAGCTAATTACATCAAAAATATGTTTGCCAATTGTAAATTTAGGTAACTTACGGCAACATGAAAATTGATTAATTATATCATTTTCGTAAATAGACCAAACGAATGCAATTAATTGAGCTTTTCCCGTATTATCTGTTGTTTCATCGATTTGTAGAGCAAAATTTGAGTTTGCAAGAGTTTTTGCAGTATTTTGTTCAATATTTTGCGATGGGATTTTACGTAGAAATCTAATACGAAAATGGCGAAGTGATCTTTGAAATCGCCTGCGGAATTCGTGGGAAACTAGTGCTTTCCAAACATCAGACAACAAGACGCAGACTCAGACACCTATGTATGTAAAAAACTAGAGTAAAAATAGGTAAAAAACGAGAGAAATATGTAACGAAGCGGTGGAAGCGAAAAATCTTCGTTACAATATTCATATATATATATAAGTACTTTTCTTTAATTTAAACTTTACTCGTAATAAAAAAAGCATTAAAATTTTTATTATATACATTTCTAAAATTTGGTGGCACACTTTAAGAATTTGGCGACACACAAAAGTGCGGTGGCACAGTGGTTGAGAATCACTGGATTACTGGATAGAATCCCCTTGTCATTGGACTAACCTTGGTAGGTTTTTGTAGTTTTCCTCTTCATGTAACGCAATTGGCGATCGCAGCGCTCGAATACGCACGCCATCTGGGGAGAGATCGGTTTTATTCCTTTGGCCCTTCTCCCTTCCCTCTCCTACTCTTTTCAGTTGTATAGGAATGTACTACGATATTTTACTTTTTTATTTAATGAAAATATTTTTTAAAATTTCTGTGATACTTTTCTCTAGAACTATGTTTAATGTAGTTTTCAGTTCCATATAGTTTTCCAACTTAAAAGATTTTAATGTATCTGAAAAACAAGAGAGAAAGCAACGTACTTCTTTCCTCTATGACTCTCCACACGCTAATTGAGAAAGCATGAGGAGTGTTGCCATAGGTAGAGAGTTTTGCTCTACGCCACCTGCAGCCCATTTCGATCGCCATACGGGATAGTTCCCTCGAAAAGTCCTCCATGATGGCTTGTTTGTCCGAATGCTTGATCCAGGAGCTCTTTTGTTTACTGGGTTGGATTCGAAGTTGAACATTGATAGTGGCAAACTTAAAATTGGACACTTTACTCAACGCTGATTATAAAATAAAATATAGACATCTTGTGCCAAATGATACGAAACGTGTAACAAAATGTTCATCCAAATCACTAAATAAAATCTTTTAAAAAAACTGGGGAATTTTGAATTCTTTGGATGAGGTGAAGATGATTTTTCGTGAGACTCAGCACATGTGAATGATCTAAAATCCATTACAGAGATTAAATTTATTTTACGTTTAAAAAAGTCGAAAAATGTTTTAGACTAAAAAAGAAGAAAAAAGCAGAACTAATTCATTTTCTCTTTACCAAACGCAATATATAAACGTTTTCCTTTCTTTTCTTTCCTTTTTTTTTAAATGAAAAATGAATTTTTTAAATGTAATATGAATTTTTTAATGTACCAAACGTAGTAGTTTACTAAGTCATTCTTTGGTACAGGCTTAAAATTATTTTTAAATCTAATAGCCTTAAAAACATAGCTGTTTTTTAAACCTGATATTTTACTTAAATGTTATTGGTTCTTTAAACCTGCATATTTTATTTATATATAGGGTGAATTGACCTACGAAGCTTTACACAACATGAAATATTTAGATAACATCATTTCAGAGACTTTAAGACTCTATCCGCCAGGAGTGAGGTAAGTAAATTCGTTCTTCTTGTCGTATGCTTGACTTGTAGCTCTCTTAGTAGAGATTAGTACAGCAGATGATTAAATTTTAAATTTTGTGTAGTTTTTATTTACGATTTTTTTAAAAAATTTGCTCCATATTTTAATTTGATATTTTAATATCCTTCTTAAATTACTTAGTGCTAAGATAGCAGATAATACTGGCACAATTTAATGGTTAAAAGAAGAAAGATAATACTAATTGATATATTATCATTTCTTCCATTCATTTATTCCCAAGCAGATGAAAAAGAAGAAAAAAGAAGTTCCATTACTGTAGGATTAAACGTGAAAAATTTAGGCGGAAAATTTTGAGCCCCGAAAGCTCTCTGTAATTCAATCACTCTTGTTTTTTTATTGTCTATGCATAAATTTGTATGATAAACTTCCATACGGCTATGAAGAAATGTTGCTATAGCCTATGGAAAAATTTATTTAAAGGGTACAGCACATCATAATTTTATGACAAAACTTGATATATTAAAAAATACCATAGGGTATCCCAATGTGGTTTTACAAATGGTAAAATTTTATCATATACATTACCCTTATACCTATGATACAAACTTACCATACGCATATAGTACAAAATTTGCTAAATAAAAAAAATATGTATTAAAAATTTGCCATACGCTTATGCCTTACGTTTATGGCAAAAGTATATGGCAAAATTTTACTATTGGCAAAACACCATAAGAATATTTAATATAAGAATTATATTTATATAGGAATACTTATGTAAGAATTTTATAAATTTTTTATGGCAAACCTATGGCAAATTTTCCTAAGGGGTCTAATCGTCCATTCATTTATTCCCATTAGTGGCCAGGTTATAGGTAAAAGAAGTCCCGTTACCGTCGGCCTAAACGTGAAAAATTTACGTGAGCTTAATTTTACCCAACAAATTTGTTGTTTATAATTCCGAAGTTTTTTCTTCACATGCAAAAGTATTTAGTATTTTAACATTTTGTAAAGACGTATAGTTTTACTTGAAAAGTCTTTTTGCTAAACTCGGATACATAAAAGAATGTTTTATTATTATTTATAAAAAAAATTTAGCATAATAATGGAGCAGTATAGCAAAGTATAATTTCCTGTCACTCCACACGGGACATTAAATTGGTTATTTTAATTCAATTTTTGCTTTAATTTTTTGAATATTAGTCATTTTTTCAGAAAAGAAAAATGTTACAAACGTAGGAAAGTAGCCTAAATCGCACACTTTTCTCATTTTAATTTTCACCAATTACAAATCACTGACAATTACAATTGAAATATCTTATTAATTAAATGCAGTTATTCAGCTTATAAAATTAATGTTTTTATTTGGTTGTCAGTAAGTAGAAATTGTTTTCATAAGATCTAAAAGTGGTACGATTAAAGAAACCGTTTACAAGTTGCCGAATTCGTACTTACATCAAAAGTATTGAGCATTTATAATTAAGTGAATGAGTATACTACGAATAATCCGAAATAATTTTTTAATAGAAAAGAGATATTGCGATATTTAATTTTTGAATTGTTACATGGATTGTGACAGCTTTATAAGCTTACAAAATGTTAATGGAACATGATGTTATGGGTAACAGAGTTCTAGTGTGATTTTATATGTGCTGTTTGTTAAAACGGGACCTGATTTTTCTGCATGGATCTCCACGTCATAAGAGATTCCTAATTTATTCGCTAAGGCGTTCTCTAGTCAATAAATGTTTAGAAATCAGAAGTGGTACCATTTGGGCAACTTTCCCTTATGAAACTAACCTGTTGCTTTCAAGCCGAGCTTCAGCCATTGCCCTTTAGCGATTTAAGTCAGAAAGGTCACCCTTTTGTTTGGCAAGAGAGCACCGCAAAGGTGAAAGTAAATCTTAGCTCAGTTCCCAATGATAGATGGCAGCACTACTCATTCATGAGGCCGTTTCCTCAATTTAAATATAGATTTGAATGGAAAGGAAATTTTCTTTAGATTCCTGTGCCCATGGTGTAGAATCTGATAAAATTCAGAGCCACTGGATGGCACCTTATAATGAAAATATAACTCAGATTGATTTAAGAATTCGATGAAGGCAGATGTAAGCCTAATGTACCAAAATAAAATTTTGTTATTGTTTGAAACGAGAGTTCATCCTTGAATTTACACATGGTACTGCTTAACGACAGACTCTATTACTTTCGATTAAACATATTTTCGAGAACATCGTATGTACTCGGTAGGTCGGAGTCGAGGATCGAACCCCGAACCGGAGACCGGATCTCTAATTAATGTGAATTGGATGACGTTATTGATTGGTGAAGGCATGTATTTTAGTAATGTATTTATGCATGTATTTATGTAATTTAATAGACCAAAATTAAATAGCTTTTTTTTCTCCATCTAGAACTGAACGAAAGGTTGCATCAGAATATAAACTGGGTGACACTGGTATTATTTTGGAAAAAGACATGATTGTTAGTGTTCCTATATTTGCTATCCACCGAGATCCAAAATATTATCCAAATCCTGAGAAATTCGATCCAGATAGGTAACCATTTTAGAACTTTTCTCTCTTTTACTTGTAGTTTCTAAACTTTATAGATTCTTTTGTAAAGATACTTTCTGTTAATTTCTTTATATCGTTTTTAATATCATTTCTCCCTCTTCAATTCGGTTTTATGTTTATAATAGTACATTTTTTAGTAGTACGATCCAGTTAGTGTTGTTTTATTTAGTGCATTTCTTCATTAATAATTCGAAGAACTATTTAAAATGATTAAAATTTTTAAGATAGTTATTAAAAAATAATAATTATTATTTTTAAAAACTATAATGCGAGATAATAACTGAAATATATCAAAATAGATATTAAAAATAATTATTTGATTTAAGTAAAATATTTCAAAATAATGATTGAAATACTTTAAATTAATGATTAAAAATAAAACTTTAAAAGAATTTTGAAAAAATATTTGAAAATTGTAATTTTCTTCCATCAGCATGACAGTCTAGTACAGGCCACAGTTTTCCCCGTCTCCTACTGGCTTGATGAGACACTACATTCATTGATTTCCATGATTTTAAGATCTTTTCCCACAGAGTCACGTGTCTAGTGTTTGATCTTTAACTTTTTCTGTTGCCAATAAAGTTTCCAAAAGGTCAGCCTCTTAACTGGGTCACCATCATCCTCTCTATAAATGTGACCCAGCCATCTTATTTTATAGGATTTATTAACTGGAATTATGTTTGGTTGCTTAAATTTTCTGCATAATTCATAATTGTTCTGAATTGGCCAAACACAGTGTTTTCTTTAACAGTTCCGAAGTTGGCTCTGAGTAATTTTCTTTCAAATATTAGAGTATTATCAAGTATGTAATTTTCATCTGTTTTATTTTGAAGTCAGCAGTCGCTGCCATAGAGCAACACAGGTTTAATTAGAGTTTTGTTAAAATGAATTTTAGTTTTAAAATAAAAATGAGCTTCGATTTTAGTTGGTTTCTCAATCTGATACGACACCATTTAGCAATATATTTAAAATAATAAACTTTTTTTCTTTCTAAAATGTAGGTAGTTCTCTTTAAAGCGACGGCATTAAATGATGACGAAATCTTTTTGTGTTCTTTTGAAAATCAATTATGGGTATCAGATTAACAGGTCCCGCGCTAAGCATTCGCCACCTCGCCAGATGTGATAAAATTGTAAATTTAGCGAATTAAATTGTGTTTTGGCGAAAGTATTGGTGAATGATTTTTTTTTCACCAAGAAGAAATATAGATATTTGACTGGATCCTCAAAATTACGCCAAAATGAATTTTTCTAAACAAATCAGTATTTTTTATTCAATTGCAGTAATTTTCGGTGCCGCATAACCAACTAGAATTGAGTCTAAATAATATAAGCCTGAAGCAAAGTACCGTAAAATAGTTTTTTTTATGGGAAACAAGTTAATCATAAAATTTTTTTAAGATTTGTATTTAGCGAAGACTTTCCAAAATTGGCGAATACTTAAGATATTTGGATAATTTACTTTCTAATAATTTGAAATCCTTTGTGTGGGTCCTGGATAAATTCTTTCAGCAAATTACAATAACTTTCTTATTTTTGCTTTTAAGAGAACGTTACCGCGGTAAAACTTAGTACGACAAATTATGCACCGCCTCCTTTGCTAACATAAAATGGTACATTATTTTAAATTTAAAATGGGTACATTACTTTAAATTTAAAATTTCTTATCAAGGTAAAAGAGAATTTGCAATGAAAATTTTTTCCCGTGGTATAGTATCCTCAGAGAACGCTATACCACGACAGAAAACATTGTTTACAAATACTTATTCCTCTTATCTGCTCAATTTAAATCACTAACGTAGATTAATTTCTTCAAATATTAATCTACATTAGTGATTTAATTTTTAAAGTATATAAAAAATTGAAGCTTCTAATACTGATTTTTTTCCTTCAAAACGTCAAAACGCAAATTTATATTTTGATTTTGGTAATTGCAATTTGGTATTTTAAAAAGATATTCAATAGTTTAAACTTCGTAGTTTATTCTTGATATATCTGAAATCTGTGCCTCCCCCCCATATTTTTAGTTTACAACTCTAGTTGAAAGTAATTGTTGAAAATTATAGTTTGAAAGAAAAGGAAGGTATTCTCTGCCAGTTTGTAAGACGTTATTTTAATAGACAACACAAACTATAATGCTTTGTTTACGTAATATTTCAGATTTTCAGCGAAAGAGATAGCTAAAAGAGATTCCTACGTTTATCTACCCTTCGGACATGGTCCGAGAAATTGTGTCGGCATGCGGTTCGCTTTACTTGAAGCCAAAGTCTGTCTCGTATATATTATCAGCTGCTTTAAGACTAAGCCATGTGATAAGACACCAGTGAGTATTCTTTTATTCGCTCATTCTTCTTACGTGACAGCAAATAATGAATTAACATGGTATTTTAGAGGTTTCGTCGCCAAGGAAAATGAAAAAAATCCGCAGCTTAATTGCCTTACACTTGAAACAAAACGATTTTAAACTGTATGCATGATCTTGCCGTGAAGAACTGTCTGGGCTTTGGAACGAACGAATAGCATGCATATTTCAAAAGTTATTAAACTTTTAAAAAAATAGCGAATTTGGAGACGTCTTTCCACCTAGATGAAAATTATCAAAATATCTGCCTCATTCTCAGTTTTGCAAATTTATATGAGCCCAGATAATACAGAAAGTTTTTAAATATTAAAATATTAGACCACAAACACTTTTCATTTCCAGAAAACTGCAGATTTTCTCCAAAATGACTTTTTGCATATTTTTCAGAATTAAGCATAGACAGCGCTAGCTTTAAATAGGGTAAACTGGTTTTAACAGTCATGATTAACTGTTGCAAACTCGCAACAGTTATGAAAATAGCATATTATTTGCAAAAAAGCATCATTTCATGTGACGCCGAAATTTCGAAAAACAAAGTTCTCACCGGTTGAAAATCGGCAATTTCAACTTTTTTAAAATTATCTATTTAGTTTATAAGCTTTACAAAAGCCTTTAAATTTTTGATCACACAAATGCTAGTTAGTTTCATCAAAAGTCCTCCATGAAGGCTAGTTTGAATTCTGGACCGGTTCGAAATTACAAGGCTATGGAGTTGACCATTGATAGTCGTAAACTCAGAATCATGTCAGCTGTTCCATGCCGGTTATGAAACATAAAATATTAATACACCTTAGTCAACTTAATATTGTTACTTTTAATAGTACCTATTTAGTGAAACGTAACCTCTGTCAAACTACATCATCTCTGTTTTACCATTAATGAGATAACTATTTTAAACTATGATTTAATTTATATACATTAATTTAGAAACCTTTGGAGAAGTAACGCAGTTCAACGAATTACTAATTAAAGCTTTAAAATATGGTCGAGTCGATACTTTTCATCCCAATGTATTTTTGTGAAACAACTATTTGTATTTTCAGGTACCCATGAAGTTTAACCACAACGCTTTTGGTATTCTTCAACCCAAAGATGTTTTCCTGGCTACAGAAATAAGAAAAGATTGTCTACTCAAGCCTTAAATACTGATGATGTTATTTTAATGTTCCATCTGCATGAAAATTTTTTCATACTATTAATTGCTGACTAGTTTTTGCGAAGCAATATTAATTATTATCTTATGAAGTGATATCATATGCATGGTTCTCAAAATATTCTGGAAAAATAATAAGAGTTCGTGTATTATCAATGATCTTCCTGTTTTTACGACGTTCATCTAAATTTATAGTGTGTTTAAGAAGTGCAAAATTAACATTTGCTTGCAGGGCTGTTTTGTAATTATTCCCCTTAACATCTACATGCTTCACTCCCTTTCTCTTTATTCTGTTAATTGACTTGTTTCACGCTCTTCAGTAGTGATTGATTAAATTTCGATTACTTATTTTTCTCTTAGATAATTAGTGAACTACTTTATTGACTTCATTTTTGACAAGAGATTTTAAAAACTTGCATTGAGGGGAGGACATTACGAAACACCATCTATGTAATTCATGTACTATTAGTTCCGTGTATTTCCTACGTTTTGTAAATAAATAAAATGTAACGCGCTGGTCATTTTTTTAATAATAAAGTGTTGTTCATTATTTTTAACTTAGAATTTATTACTTATTTGTTTAGAAATTCGTTACATTCTTAAAAAAGTATATCACACAAGCAGTGAACCACTATTTAAAAAAAAAAACGACAAATATATAATATTTTTTCCTTTTACTAATAATTAATAAAAATTATATTTTTCATTCAAGTGACATTGAATAAACGAATTTTGTTATTAAGTGAAGAACGATTTGTTTAAAAAGCTCCCTATATATGGCGAAATACTGAAAAATTGTAATTTAACTTTGAGAGGCTCAAACTTTCAATTGTTCTCCTGCCTCAGCTATTGGAGATCCTGTTTTGCAGATAGTGACTTTAAGAAATAATTTAAATCTATTTCATTAAAAAAAATCTGATTCGAATTAATTGCAAGTTTTAGATTCGAATCACCGAATCAATTCAGTAATTCGAATAATATAATTAGTACCCAACTCTATTAAAAATATGTTTCTACTACGATACACCCTATATTTCTTAACTTTTGATTAAAATTTTTATTTTATGTGTTTTCGGGCGGCCATTAATTCTAGATGAAGTCCTTAGTATTAAACCAATAGCTTTCTTCTGATTCTTCCTCTTCTATTTATCGACGTTGTGTTGTGGTGCTCTTAATCGTGCATGACTCGGGGTCTAGTGCTCGAGATTCTGCGAATTAATTGGATTTCTGGTGCAACGCGGGGTTGCTTCGTAGCGATTAAGTTTTCAGATTAAGTTGGTTTATGGGTCCTTCGGGCCTGCGTCACCCATATTACTTACTCCCCTTACTAAACAAATCCCAGATTTTAAATAACATCAAGTCAGTTATGCAAAAACATTATTTATTCAATGAAAATTGGTAAAACTAACATCAATCATCATTATTTGTATTCTAATTGCATTTTCATGTTACAAAAGTACTGCTGCAATCCTAGCATTCTTTAATTAAAAAACATTTATTTTATCAGCATTTTTATAAACGATCAGTCACATTCATATTGCTTCAGAGAACTCAGTCTTCTCAAATCTAAAAGAAAGGGGAAAACATAGATAAATGAAATAAATTTAAGGTCGAAAATTGTGATTGTATACAGCCACATAGTTTTTCAACTTTCGCAAACTTTTTAATAATTGATAAAATTTATATAATAATTTGACTTAATTTCTATTTCCAGTTAAACATCTACAGTTGACATACAAAAACATTAGACATCTCCATAGTTAGAGTCCACAGCAACGTAAATACTTAAAAATTAAATAGCTATGTGTGCAGTTAAATAATTAGCCGACAAAGAACTAGGTAACTTGATTTTACTAGATGTTTCAAACTTAAATGAAATATAAGTTACGTAAAAGAATTTTGGTCATGAGTTACTGTTTCATAAATTAAAGGTCTGTAAGGTCAAGTTTANGTATTCTAATTGCATTTTCATGTTACAAAAGTACTGCTGCAATCCTAGCATTCTTTAATTAAAAAACATTTATTTTATCAGCATTTTTATAAACGATCAGTCACATTCATATTGCTTCAGAGAACTCAGTCTTCTCAAATCTAAAAGAAAGGGGAAAACATAGATAAATGAAATAAATTTAAGGTCGAAAATTGTGATTGTATACAGCCACATAGCTTTTCAACTTTCGCAAACTTTTTAATAATTAATAACATTTATATAATAATTTGACTTAATTTCTATCTTCAGTTAGACATCTACAGTTCACACAAAAACATTATACATCTCCACAGTTAGAGTCCACAGCAACGTAAATACTTTAAAATTAAAAATAAAATAGCTATGTGTGCAGTAAACTAATTAGCCGGCAAAGAACTAGGTAACTGGCTTTGACTAGATGTTTCAAACTTAAATAAAATATAAGTTACATAAAAGAATTGTGGTCATGGGTTACTGTTTCATTAATTAAAGGTCTGTAAGGTCAAGTTTAACGAGAATTTTTAGCCAGCGCCCTCTATGTAATTCTGAAAATGGCGCAAATAGTTCATATGAAAAAAAGCACAGTTTAATAAAAATTATAAGCATTTGTGTTTTTATTTTTTAAGATTTCAAAAGTTACTCCGCTACATTATTTGGGCTCATAAAAATAAAATCAAGTAATTGCAAAACATTTTAAAATTGAATTATTCAATGACTTTAATAATTTTTATGTAAGGAAAAAATTTTGCCAAGTAGATGATTTTCAAAAGAGTTTAATAACTTTTGACATATTTATTTCATATTTTAATTTATAACCGGATACGGAATTTTTAATTTGCGAGAATCCGAACCCAGCAGCAATTGCTGGGATTCGAACCCGGTTCACCTTATTGGAAAGCGAACGCTTTATTCCCTGAGTCATCACGGCTCTAAACAACATTTTTAAACTATTTGAAGGTTCAGTTCGAAAATGGCTGGGATAGCCAGGCTGGTAAAGCGTTGGGCCCATTTTTGAACACTTTATGCCTAAAAAAAATCAAGCAAATAAACTTGGTTCAATTACTTTTAGTTGTTATTTTTAATAACTACATAAAATTTTGTTAGCTTCGCCTAAATATTTATGGAAATATGGGCATTTTTGTAAAAAACTAATTTTTTTGTCTTACGTTTTTAGCTATGACTTTAAAAATATTCAATTAAATTAAACAAAATATTTGGAGCAATGTAAAATTAATTAAAAAATTATTATTTTTAAATTAAAAAAATTCGCTGAAGACTGCTAAAGATATGAGTACTTGAAGTTGTTCTTGTATATTGCACATGAGGGGAAAAATATAATTTTTCTTCTTCTTAATTTTGTCGTGAATCATAAGTGGAAACTAATAAAAAAGTCTGATTTCATAATTTTAAAAAGTTTCAAACAATTTTCCAGTTGATTTTGTATTTTATTAAAGAAAGCTCGAAACGATTAGGGGTTTTTGGCAACTTTAATTCTGTTCTTGCTGTCCGTGTGTTATTTGATTGGGTAATTTGCAATACTACATAAAATTGTAAAATTTCTATATAAAATACTATTTGTGGAAAATCCCTGATCATTTTGAACATTCTTATAAAAATTACAAAAACTACTTAGAAAATTGCTGAAAATTCCGTCAAATTTCAACTTTGTCAAATTTTGAAATTTTTCTAAATTTCCTCAATTTGTTAATTCTTTTTTTGAAGAAACTTTATACCGTTTTTTTATATATTTAATACACATTATTTTGTGGTAGTGTTATAAATATGCACATAAATAACTTCTCAAAATTCGGTTAGTGTTGAGACTTCAGAAAGCAGTTAGCATTGCAGAGATTATCCTATTTGGAAATGTAGTGCATGTCAATTTAAAAAAATTTTTTGCGAATATTTATATTGCTTCGAAGTTTAAAAGAAAAAAAAATGCAAGATTTGAAGAAAACAGCACTCTGAGTTTCATCATAATGTGAAATTAGTTGCCAGAATAAAATGAAATTACTCCCTGATTAATTAAACAGGGCGTAGAATAGAGATAAAGAAAATATAATAGTTTCGTCGTCAGAAAAATAGTGTTACTCTTTTAAAAATCTTTTTTTTTATCTGATTAATATTTTGATAGGGATGATTACTTAGTCCTTTGATCATTAACGACATAAAGTCTATTTTATTTGTAAACTTAAGCGCATTAAAAAGAACACATGCGTTATCAAGTTTAAAAAATTTCTATTCTCTTTATCTTGCATTTTTTATCTTATCCTCTTTCAAAGGACTGTCAATTCTAACGGGAAAAAATAATAATAAACAAAGCTACGTCATAAACTTTACTAAAAAAATATCAAGAGTAGATGGTGATTGGCGCACATTACGATAATATGTGCTAACCTTGACAGCTCATGTATTTATGTATTTCTTCCTGAAGTTTGAAACAGTTTCAAAGCATTATTTTGGGCAGTGAGTTCTTTTGTGTTCGGTATTTTAGTAATGGCGTTTCTGGAAATTTTTAGCGGACCTCTGTTTGCTACATTTTTAATTGGAGTATCCACTTTCCTCTTGGCTTTATGGTAAGTTGAAAATTTTATTCATTTTAATATCTTTCTTGCCTCCATATAATAAAAGAATTATTAGCGTCACCGCTACTCCATTTAGTGTTCACATTTTAAAATTACTAAGGAGTGCAGACGAAAGTTAATTTTTTTTCATAAATGACATGTTTTTTTTTTCATAATTTATTCAATGCCATGTTCTTAAAAAAATAAATACATATCTGTATTATTAAATTTTGCTATTTCGTTTTCTTTCTCTGACATTTTACAAAAATTCGTAATTTTAAATTCCTCGTGAATTTATAAAAAGAACCGTGATATTAAACAAATGATGGATTACAGTTTAAAAAATCTAAATGTAATTACATGTTACAAAAAACTTTTGCTAGTCAAAAAAAAAAGTTCCACATTTCGGAAAGAACATCTGTAACTTTTCTGCGGAACACTTTTTGGAAACTGCTGTACTGTACTACTACGTTTTAGTATCTGATGAACAAAGCATGAAGTCCAGCTCTAAGAATACGCAACTATAGCAGAGAATTGTTCGGTGCGGTACGCTATTTCAGAAAGACAACTTAGAGAGAGAGCAGCAGACTCAGATTTAGCAGAGCATCATATTATGTACTGAGATCCCGGGTATGCGCGTAAGAAGTAAAGTATCAGTCAGGAGGTACGTCTCCCGTCAACAGCCATTTTATTCTTTCTATGTCAAAATGTGTTAGCAGATTTAATCAACATGGATAATATAAATGTATTCTTAAAGAAATATCTTAATTAGTAGTACAGTGTTTATCAATAGTGTGAAATTGCAGAACAAACTAACAGTAAATAAAAATATAGGTAGGTACTTACTTTATTTACGTCTCACTAGAGCTGCATAATGAACTTATTGGCGACGGTCTTGGAAGCATCCCTGAGGATGATCCGAAGACATGCCATCGCAATTTTGATCCTTTGCAGAGGGGATGGTTCCTCTGCTTTGGTAGCCCGACGACCTACGCGCACTTAATGGTAGAGCAGTTTAACGAGAAACCATACCGCGCACCCTCTGTCCCTACAAGTGGTCACCCACCCGCTTACTGACAGCAGCCAGTGATGCTTGACTTCGATATTCTGCTGGGAACCGTGTCTTTGCAATCAGTCCACTGCGGGACATATAAATAAAAAGAGAAAACATTTCACTTTAACCCCAGTAGTGGTTGGGAGGAGAGGAGGGTGCAAACCTGTTTCCCCCCTAAATGCTGTTTTTCCTTTATATATAGGGGACCTCATCCAAACTCGGGGGACTGGCTTACATTATAGCTATGGAAACCAGACTTCTTTCCCGTGTATATTCTTTGCATGGGGGTTGGCGAACGACGGAGGAAGAATGTATTCATTCTTTTATATATATATATTTGTATAATTATATATCATTCTCTTTGTCGTAATCTTAGTTCAATGTTAGTTGTGTAAATATGACTAATTGAAAACTCCTTGCAATCATGATAATAAGTATGATTGCACGCAAGCATGATTACTCTGATTCACTGTTTTACAGGCATTCCATGAAAAAGCAATCTTATTGGAAAGAGAGAAATGTACCCTACGTCAAACCACTTCCATTCCTAGGATCTCTTTGGGACAATGTCACAACGGTAAGTATAAGATACTCAGATCCCCACCTAAAATAGGGTGTACGGAGAAAGATATTAATCCTAAAAAATATATTCGATGCAAAACATCAGGATGGAAACGGATGATGATATTGATGTAAAGATAGTACATCAAATTAAAATAGAAAAAAATCACGAAGTGGCAAAAAAAACTAGTTAAAGTGGATAATCAGATAAAATATCTTAACGGGTAAATAATTAAAATTTAATACTGAAAAACTAAAATCAAACGCTAAAATAGTAAAAAATAAACAATGAGTTCAGAACTCTAAATTTATTAATACAGCTGTAATATTGCTTTATAACGGACGGATGTATCTTAAAAACAATTTTTGCATTCATCACTTTGTTCGGGAAGCTGAAAGTTCTAAATCATTTAACAAAACTCTTTAGCCGTAATTCATAATCTATATATTAATAGGCTAGCAATATTTTGTCTCGCTAAAAACTCCCAAACTATGCAACAGAATTAAACAAATAAGGTGTCGTTTTAAAGGTATTGTTATGTAGATGTGCAATAAGGTCTTAAATTATGAAAATTTCCTTTAATTAATTAATAAAATTAATAATTTAGTTTCAACCAATGAGAATTCAGCAAATCATTTTTCGGGTGGTTCGCATAAGCATTGTTTCCGTAAGCATCGTTTGATTTAAAGCATTTCTGAATTAATAGATTGATAAACAAAAATAAGAGTGGATAAAAAAAAAACGGAACTGAATTTCTTAAAAAAAGAATTCAATATCTTTAGTTCCTTTGATAAATTTTTAGTTTCATGATAAATTTTTTGTTTCGTTACAATAGAATGGCAATGGCATCGTGCGAATATTCAAACCAAAACAAACGTGCGAATATTCAAACCAAAACAAACTTTCTACAAACAATTATTTTGATTTGAGATTTAAAACGATATCTTAGTTATTTAGTTCTATTTTTATTTATTTAGTGCCTGCTGATGCCTAAATAAAATGCCTGCTATCAGGCGTCGAAATATCTCTGGCAGACGTCAGAGAAATGAATGGCGGAATTCTAAACGGGAAAGCATTTCTCGCCGAAGGGAATCGCCACCTCTACAAATTCGAGATTTTTACAAATCTGCATCGACTGTTCATGTGACCCCTTTACTATTGGATCTATGACTTTTATTTGTAACTTTTATTTTAAAATTTAAATTTGTTAAAATGCTTTTATAAGATTGCGAAGCAATATGCAATGGAACTGCGAAGCAGCTCTGGGGGTTGGCGAGCGTAGCGAGCAGGGGGCGGAGCCCCCTAGTAGTATATTAAAGTAATTTGCACCAAGAAATAATAATTGTAAAACGGTTAATGAGATCAGACACCGATTTAAGTAACTTTATCTTAAAATGTAACTTAAAATTATATTATTCTAATAATAATAATAACACTCCTCCTAAACTCTTAAATTGCAAGTCAAAAAAGTAATAATGACAGTACAGGTGATTTTAACCTTTAAATTAGGGAAACAAAATTATTTATTGGAAAACAATAACTTTATGACTTACGTATATCAATTTTATGCTGATGGCAACTAACCCAATATGAAAATTAATGAGGGGAAAACTGAATCCTGCCATGTGATTTTCTAGCCAATAAAAATGTATTGACTGACAACAATGGAAAACTGTGACACCATCATTAGATTTTTATCAATAGTAAGAAACAGACAAGAGGTTACGCAACGCTTACTACATAAAGGCTTAATACTTCAACGCATTACACACATTTTGAGTCACAAACTAATATAAAAGAAAAGGGAAAAAATTCGAATCACTCATAAAAAGAATTGAAAACATAGACGATTTTAAAGACAATTATTAGATAAACCACCAAGTTCTAGCAGACAATGAAATTGGTTTTAATTTATATCATCTCGATTTTCAAATCAGTGATAAATTGCACAGTGGAACAATTTTTTTGTTGCATGTACACAAATACTTGATATTACCTAATTCGGATGTAAATCTGAAATTAGTTTTGCTCTTAAAGCTACAGATTGTTTTTCAAATGACATTTTAAGTCTATTTTTCACAGAAATATACAAGTTTATAAACGTTTTCTACAACAGGGGGGCGCTTAAATGTTGCGACAAACTTAAGGCACATCTCAAATTGCATATGAACCAGGAAATGTCGTCGTATGCCTGTTCAGAAGCACATGAAGAGGAAATTCATGGTAGGAAAACACGTCTAGCGGCGTATGATGACCTTCCGGGCATGGGTTTATATTCAATTTTAATTCTGATGATTTATATCATCTGTCATTTTTATGATGAAGCACCGATAATTCTTAGGGCAAAATGGTATACATAGTTCAAAATTATGGCTTTTATTCGAGTTAAAGGTACTTAAAATGGCGCTTTTTTTATTTTTCTTCGCTTAAGAACTTTGAAAAACAAACTTTAAATAATTATAAATCTCAGAATGATTAAAGAACCTTTTATTTATGTACTTATTTATTTATTTGTAGACTATGCAAGATCAGGACTACAAAAGATATAATACATTGGGTCCGATTTATGGGTAAGTGACATTTTAAAAAATGTTTACTTACCTTCCATTAAATTTAAAGGCCATTATTTACTGTAAAATCTGCTCATAAAAGATTTTTTGAATTAAAAATGATAATTTAGGAAAAAATGCGGAATCATCTTCTTACCGAGTAGAGTTTTGAAAATATATTATATATATTATTTCAAAAATGGGATTTCATTTACGTTAAATGTGCAATTGAAACGTAAGCTGGCAATCAAAAATAAGCACCCATCCCTTAGTAAAGGAAATATCTCGTTATTTATTCAAAACCTGTTGCTTTTTGTTTTTCTATTCCTGAATTATTCTCAAAATTTAATAGTTGGTAATAAATTATAAGACTGTGTGAACCATACCTTCTCAGAATTTACGACTGCTAATGTTCGACTCCGTAGGCTTGTAATTTTGAACCCATTCCAGAAGGCAAGGGATCTCCTCGATAAAGTATTGGAAAAAACTTGCCTTCGTGGAGAGGTTTTTGATGGAACTATCCCGTATTTGCATTACATGGACCGAAAAACCTCCCACGGTTAGCTTGACGGCAATGGTGCTTTAACAAATGATCCGTCTACCACGGAGGATACTTTACGTCCGCACTATGGTCAGTGCGAGCCGGATGCGGAATTCGTATCGACCAACCATCGCTGGGGTTCGAACCCGGTTCTCCTCATTGGTAGGCAAACGCTCTTTCCCCTGAGCTATCCTATAAACAAAAATGCTAATTGGGTATTTTTTGCTGAAAAATTTAAATCCGCGTTATAAAAAAAAACAGTTATACCGTGTTTTATGAATACGAGATTCATATGTCAATTAAAGTTTGAGTTTAGGGGGCATCGAGTTCGTTATTGTTGGATTCAACTATTGAAAATATTTAAAATATATATATAAAAAAACGAAAGAAATTGAAAATATAGAAAAAAAACGGACCTCTATGAATAATTTTGATCTAATGATTGGATCTTCACATTTTATTTCTCAATCTCAGTAGTTCGAAAGAGTGACTTCAAATATGCTAATTAGTTAGTGCAGACGATATTTTAACTTAAGAAATCTGACACTAAAACGTACATCCGTTAAATAAACATACCCTTTTTCCGACTGATTCGGATTTCTGATCCCGAAAATATAAGGGGTAGCCGCAATCTGGGAAATATGGTCTTGGTCAGAAGAGCGATCCAAAGCTTGAAACCCCTTAATGTTAATTTTACTTTTTGCGTATTTCACCGTTTATCGAGAACTTTTTAAGTGATTTGAAAAATTTCTGCACACAATTATGAAGTTCGTTTATACAAAGATAATTACATTAAAAACATTAATAAATATTTATTATTTTATTTAATAGTGGTTGGAAAAATATAGAGTTGTAAGGTATAAAATTTTTTACACCATTTTAAAGTATGTAATTTTACATGGCAAAATATTAAATTTGAGGGAAATCGGTCGAATAGTTCCTGAGAAACTGAATTTTTAAAAAAGTCATGTATTTGATTCTAGCTATACGGTAAAATACGCAAAAAGTAAAATTAACATTAAGGGGTCCTAACTTTGGATCGCTCTCCTGAACAAACTATGGGAACCATATTTTCCAGATTGTGGCTAGCTGTCCTCCATATTTCAGGGTTTCGAAATCCGAATCCGTTGAAAAAAATGAATTTTTATTCAGAGAAAGTAAGTTTTTGTGTTTGATTTCGTAACTTAAAACATCGTTTGTACTAATTAATTAGCATATTTGAGGTCAACCCTTTCGAACCATTAAGATTGAGTCCTAAAACGTGAAGATCCTATCATTAGATCAAAAGTTATTCAGTTTTGTTCCTTTTTTTGGGGCACTGTGTACTACTGGAGATATTGCACCATTCATTTTGATGTCAACATGTACAATACAACAACAGAAAAGGAAAACCACGCTTTTCAATTGAATGTTTTCAATTTATATGTTAATTTTATTAAAATTATGTGTCAATTTATGTGTTTAATTAAAATAATTTTATTGATTTTAGTGTTTATGAAGCGAACAGTCCTACCCTGACAGTAGCAGATCCAAAACTTCTCAGAGACATACTTGTCAAAGATTTTGCTAATTTCCCGAACAGAAGAGTAAGAATTTTAACATTTACCTATAGTCTAATAAAAATGTATTTAAATCATAGGCCTTTCGAACCCAGCCTAAATTTATTATAATTTTATTTAGCTCAAGTGCAGGGATTTTTTATTTATAAAATAATTAGAAAATTTAAATGGTTTACATTTATTTTCAAAAAATGATTTCGTGATTATCACCTTTATTGTTAATTTAAAATAATTTAATGATTTTTTTTAGAAGTTATATAAAATTTGTTTGCAGTGGCTTCAATGAATTAAAATTTCAATAATCTTACTAGTTTAAAATCGTAGGTAGTGAAGTGTTTGGAACTTAAAAAATTATCTCGGGTGGTATTTATTTAGTTTTCATAAAATTAATAACATATCATAAGTCATTGTTAATTACGCTGGGAAAAGATTACTGTATCGGTAGTCACATTCATTGCGAATTATTATCGTGGTCAATCACGGTAAAGGCGACTTTAAATCCATTTTAATAAGTTTAATATATTTGTCAAATCAATATGTATATGCAAACAATAAAACTGTATATTTTACAGAGAAAAAAAAAAACAAAATTTTTTTTGTTTTGAAAAAACTATCTGTTTAAAGATAGATACAGATTTTTTTTTTGTTTTTCATAGCTGACGCACGTTAAGAAAATTCCCGTTTTTTTACAGTTTTTTTCCGTATATCTGACGTACAAAGCAGTTTTTCAAAAAAAGAAAATTTTTTTTTTCTCTGTTNGATCCAAAACTTCTCAGAGACATACTTGTCAAAGATTTTGCTAATTTCCCGAACAGAAGAGTAAGAATTTTAACATTTACCTATAGTCTAATAAAAATGTATTTAAATCATAGGCCTTTCGAACCCAGCCTAAATTTATTATAATTTTATTTAGCTCAAGTGCAGGGATTTTTTATTTATAAAATAATTAGAAAATTTAAATGGTTTACATTTATTTTCAAAAAATGATTTCGTGATTATCACCTTTATTGTTAATTTAAAATAATTTAATGATTTTTTTTAGAAGTTATATAAAATTTGTTTGCAGTGGCTTCAATGAATTAAAATTTCAATAATCTTACTAGTTTAAAATCGTAGGTAGTGAAGTGTTTGGAACTTAAAAAATTATCTCGGGTGGTATTTATTTAGTTTTCATAAAATTAATAACATATCATAAGTCATTGTTAATTACGCTGGGAAAAGATTACTGTATCGGTAGTCACATTCATTGCGAATTATTATCGTGGTCAATCACGGTAAAGGCGACTTTAAATCCATTTGAATAAGTTTAATATATTTGTCAAATCAATATGTATATGCAAACAATAAAACTGTATATTCTACAGAGAAAAAAAACAACAAAATTTTTTTTGTTTTGAAAAACTATCTGCTTAAAGATAGATACAGATTTTTTTTGTTTTTCATAGCTGACGCACGTTAAGAAAATTCCCGTTTTTTTTACAGTTTTTTTTCCGTATATCTGACGTACAAAGCAGTTTTTCAAAAAAAAATAAATGTTTTTTTCTCTGTTATTCACTTTAATCATAAACGGATTCAAACAGTAAATTCAAATTCTAGTTTTTGCCACGCAATTTTGCTTACCGTAACTTTAAAGTTTTTCAAACCAGTTTACGTTTATTTTCTATACTTGCTCTTACTTTTCAGAAATTATTTTATGGTTTTGCATCGTTTAAATAAAATTGAGAGTTGAGTTCATTCTCAAATTGATTCTCGATCTGATTATTTGTCTTTAGAAATAACTTTTCAATAAGTTAGATGGCCAGACATTTTTATTAGGGGTGGGTCACTGCAATTTTAAATGTTTTGAAGCTTAAGTGCGGCTTAAGATAAAGACAGTTTAAGATTTGAATTCAAAACAAAACTCTAGAGCTACTGTCGCTCCAGGGACAGAAGCTCTTACCTCTCAATTGAGGCTCGAATTCCGGCGAATTCTGTTCTCGGTTCACATTGACGTTACAATGCTGGCGTAGTTATTTTATGGATTTCTTTTGAAAATAATAGATTAGTTTTTATTGAAAGAAATAACAGAGTTTGTTTGTTAAAATAACAATCTTTCTATAAAACAGGAGCCCGTTTTTAAACAGTATTTTTCTGTTAAATAAACGGTTTTATAACATGCTGACAGTTTTTTTCTGTAAATTCAACAGATTTTCTTTACAGTGTGGAATGATCATAATAGGAGGGGGATGACGACGAAAGACCTTTTTTATTCCTATTGATTGGACGATTTGTATCTATTATTTTTCATATTAATAATTATTACGGAAAATTAAAAAATATGTTATTGGTAATATTTAAGGAAGCAAAAGTTAAATTAAACCAGATGAGACTTATGAAGTTAAGGAATCCCTATTATTCGAACATCTTACCTTTCTATTTACAGGGCCAGAGCTAAGGATTTCAAATTATTAGCCTGTGAATTAGCATATATCAAAAGTCTTCGCCAGTTTTCGAAAGTCTTCGCCAAATGCAAATCTTAACAATTTTTTTATATATCTTTTTCTTTTCGGTGGAAAAAATCATTCGCCAATGCTTTTGCCAAAACACAATTTTATTCGCCAAATTTACAAATTTATCGCATTTAGCAAGGTGGCGAATGCTGAGCACGGGCCCTGCATTTATTTGTACAAAGTACCCTAATACCTTAAACTATTCATTATAATGTATGTTTCAGTCCCTCATAACTGGTGACAAAATTGGCGACAATATGCTCCCAAGTCTAGAGGGTGAAGATTGGAAGAGAGTAAGAACCATCATTACTCCAACATTCACAACTGGAAAACTTAAAAGGGTAAGTGATACCTGTCAGCCACATATTTCTTTTTCCGGTTTGAGGCTTTCCCAAATGTCTAAGCTCAGGCTGAAAATTGTCCAAAATTGTCATGGAAAATTGTCCAAGTTTAGGCGGTGTTTCTTTTTTGACAAGTTTGGGAGGTGGTGAGGTCTTCAAGTGACAAGAATTGCCTTCTAAGTGCACATATTCTCTTAAAAAAATGTAACTAAGTTTACAATCAAAGCAAAATAATGATCTCTTTAATTCAATCAATCAAGTTTTTTTTCTTGAGAAACTAGCATTCAGCTTAATGAACTTGTTTGGCTATTAGTATAACAATAGTCAATTCTAGGAAATTAGGAATAAATATAAGTATAGAGACAATTTCGCTTCATCTTCAACAGGCCTGGGTAAACAGGACATTGGCACACACACCCTTGTATCTCTTGCAATGAATCTGATTTTTAATATAGTAGCAAACGACTGTTATTGATGATCACGTCCCTGATAATTTGTAAATGTTTAAATAACATATTCTTAATCAATCTTAGGAAAAGAACAAAACTATTAAAAACTCATATGTTGATATAATTTTAGAATATTATCAACAAATGGGTAAATAATTTTCGATTAAGGAATCAATTTTGGAGAGCTTTTATCGACGTGAATAGCCCTTTTCTCAAAAATTCCACACCGCCCCAATCAGCCACGACAGATTTAAGGTGCACTCAGCTACTTTTCTACTCCAGTTATTTAATCGGCTGCTAGGATAAATTTGACAACCCTCCTGACATTTTAACCTCATTGTACCCCCGAACTACATCAACAACAAAAAAAAACTTATTAGTACTATTTAAAGAAAATGAATGAACAAATATATTACCAAATGCAGCATACTCGAAACGTTTCTGAATGCATTCTATTGAAGTATACTCTCTATATATCGACCTTCGATAACGCGAAAACCTTGTTATATCAAAAAAATATTTTCCCCCTTGGCATTACATATCCACCTAATGTTAATTTGAATTCCTTTTTCAAAGGGTTTCTTCTCAAAACCTTGCTATGTCGAATTTTTTTCGAAATAGAAAATGACGATTTTCACAAATCACAATGTACGTACATTCACAATACATTTTACAAGTTCATTATAAACCAATTATTTTCTATTTAATGCATAAGTTTTGTCTTGCTTTTTAAAAAAAAAATTATCATTGTTGTATTCGGACTTATAGTCAACTATCATTACAAACATATTTATAAACAGTTATTCTTATGTTTCATGCCTCCATTTCTAGAGCAATATTTTATAATATATATTTCTACTTTTTAGAACATATTTAGTTCTGAACTTGTTAACTCAAACGCTCACTATCTCGAATTTTTTTTAGCATACTTTCAACTTTGAGATATCGAGAGTATACTGTACATTCATTTCTCTGTCTGATAAAATAAATGAAAGCCACTCACGTAGGAAGAGCTTAGAGTTAAATGTGTACAGAACAATTCGAAAACAGTTTCTGAAAAATTAAAATAAATATAGATCAGATAAAATGTAAATTCCAATAAATATAGGCTTCAAAAAAATTTTTTGTACACAGTGAGCAAAAAATAAATAAATAAACTAAATAAATAAATAAAGGGAACTCACTTTATGTTCTCGAACTCATTCTTAATTGTTCTAGGGCAGAGGTGGCGAACCTTTATGCACCAACGTGTCATTTTTTCTAAAAGATTGTTTAATTTGGTCATAGACGTGCCGTCAAATAATTTTGACTTCGTGATTATTGGGAAAATAATAACACTAAATACTACCAACTCAAAACTCTTTATTTACTACGAAAAAGAATACATTTCGCAATGTCTCAGTTATACGCGTAATTCAACTTAAAGTAAAACTTCTGTTGTNCGGGGACGTTTAACATTAGCTTCATATGAAATGATTTGGTTCCATTAAATTTTATTCGTAAAAGCGGGTTATTTGATTATCCGATATGCGATGTGGGGACGACTGTATTTGAAAGGAGGGAACCAAGTTGTGTTTTACAAACTAAATTAATAGACATTTAAGAGAATATAAGTTGCATTTCATTTAATAGAAATCTGTCACCTTTCTGCATACTTATTAAGCGATTATCTTGAATAGCTCTCATAATTATTTTCTAGATAACTATGTAAAACTCTTTATGTAAAGTAAGGAGAAAAAAAATAGACAACCTTGAATAATTTTTGATCTAATGATCGACAGAGCAGACGATGTTTTTAGTTACGAAATCAAAACCAAAAACTTACTTTCTCTGAATAAACATACCTTTTTTTCGACGGATTCGAACTTCTGACCCCAAAATATAGGGGGTATCTCCAATCATCGGGGAAATATGGTCAGGAGAGAGGGCCGAAATTTGACCTCCTTAATATTTATTTTACTTTTTGCATATTTCGCTATATCTTGAGAACTTTTTAGGCGAATCGATAAATTTTTGTTTAAAATTATAAAACTCGTTTAACCTAACATAATACTACACAAAAAATAACTTTTATTAAATATTTATTAATTTTTATAATTTTATTTAATCATAGTAAAAAAACACTTTGAGCTATAAGGTATACAAATTTTTACATCTTTTTAAAGACGTAATTTTTTATTTTTGCCCTCTCTAATTTTATATGGCTGAATATAAAATTTCAGCGAAAGCGTCCGAGCAGTTCCTGAGAAATCTAATTTTGAATAAGAAGTTTTTTTAAAAAATAATTTTCAACAAAAATCAAATGAATTTGTAATAAATATTTGAGTCAGTTTGTAATAAATACTAACAAAAATATTTTTGATATCAAACATCTTTTATGAATGCAAAATATGAAATTTTTTAAATGTGTCTCAAATCAGCCCTATTGTTTTCCGTCTTTAAAAATGAGTCCACTGAATTGCGTAAGCTTTATGGGAAAAAAATCAAAAAGGGAATTAAATAGTTGTATAAAAATACTTCTCTATTAATATGTGTCTCCATTCCCTTTATAGCTCATGAGTATTTTCAAAGACTGTGCCAAAACCTTAGTTCAAAATTTCAAGATGTCTGAAATGAGAAAGGAGCCCATCGATGCCAAGAGGTTAGTTTATTCGAATGACTGGTTGAAAATCAATTCTCCGTAAGGGTCGGAAAAAAATTAAGCTATCAGTCAATCAGTAATGAATAACACTACAAATTCATGCACAAAACTTGACGACATAAACCATAGCAACGCAATTAATAAAGTTATAACAATTCCAATTTGATTCATTTATTTTTAATGTTTGTCCTTTTCGGTGGCTTTACGTTATTAGATTAAGAAAAACACATTTTTAGTAGTTCATTCTATCAAAATAACAATTAACTCTATTCAGTATCTTTTTGAAGGATGTTACTGCCCGAGGTCAACTCTTGATGGTCAAAATTCATCACAATTAAGAGATTCTCTCCATGGTACTATTTTTATGTTATTTCCACATTTTCCACAAAAATTAAAAATTTCTTTGTTGAGTTAAATTCGCGATCGCAGCGAACTGTAGGGGACGTTATTGGATGAGACGAATTCTTGCTATTTTCATTCAGTTGCTCTGGAGTCGTCTTTGATTTAGCGTGTAGCATTGTAACGTTCCTGCTTTAATGTGGCTTGTTAAATTTAAAAGAGAAAAATATTTAAAAGTACGCATAAGCCCATAATTATATATCATTTTATTTCGCAAAAAACGTTTTTTGACAACAATTTTTATCAAAACAATTTAAGTTTCAACGAAAATCATTTTTTGTAAACTAAAAAATGCAAAATAAAAAATGCTTACGAAAAAAAAAAAAAAAACGATTCCAAAAATTCTTCAAATTAAAATAAAGATGTTTTTAAAAATTCTTAACGTAGAGAACCATTCTATAGAGAGCTATCATCAAATAGAAAAAAAAGTAATTTACAAGTAAATTTTTTATTATAAAAATCATAACACTTACCTGATTTATAAATTCGGAGAATTCCAAAATGATATATTTTTCATTTGAAAACTTTATTCTCAAATGATATGTACATAAATAATCCCTTCATTACTTTCAGATGACATACCACATAATAAAATTTTATAATTCCAAGATCTCGATATGAATTTCAGTATGTGACTTAAAAACAGATACAGAATTCTAGTTGAAATTTAACATTTAAAATTAAAAAAATACTTACCAAGAAAACGATAAAAATGTATTAATAATCAACAAAAATGATATTATTTCAAGTAATTCAGATGATTCTTTACTATTTTCTTTACTATTTTTATAGATACAGAAATATATACTATTCTAAAGGGAAGAAGAATATTCTATAACTATTACAGTTCCGTCCATTCTGAAATCACATTTATTTATTGGAATGAAGTAAGCAATGTTGACTTCACTTCAATTTGTAATGAATTGAAGACGAAAAAAAAATTATTTTAGCGTAATAAATACATCTGTAACAGCAAGCGATCATGAAATCGGAAGTTATGTTGTTGATAATAGAAAGGTAAAAACTATTGAGAAATTCTTCAAATGTTGGGAGCTTTCTGTTTCAGATAGATTTTTATTGGAAAAAATATTATTTTCAGTGCCCGGGCTAAGCACTCGCCACCTCGCTAAATGAGATAAAATGGTCGTTTTTCAAGTTCTTCAGCCTTTTCCTTAGGGAAATTTCGTTTCTTATTTGCTTCTAAGAATTTCTTTCTTTTTATTTCAAGAACTTAGAAAGTGCTGTTTCAGAAAATACAGTTTCTACTCTTTTTAATTTTTATTTTATTTGTTTATTTTTTAGATTCCAGATAATTTGCTCTCTATTTTTTTGACTTTAGAACCCTAAATGATCAACCTTCTTTTGAAAGAACTGCTGGCCTACGACTTAATGAATAAAGTTCATTCGCAATTATGAATATATTAACTTACGAAAGACTATTATTATTTTGAAAATCTGTTTATTAAGGACCTTAATTTCGTTAATTAATTTGAAAATATTTAATGAATTAAATGAAAAAGAGAATTTTTTCATTACATCGTTTTATCAATATTAGTATTAAAATTTGATTTTATGTCAGACAGTTGCATCTATTGTTTCATTCTTAATTTTATAAGCGAATGCATAAACTGCTAATGAATGAGCTGAAATATGGTTTCCATTAAAATAAAAACAAAAAAGAAAGAAAATAAACGTTGGGATTGGTTAAAAGAGAAACCTAACTCTTTACAGTTTAATTTGGTTATTTTTATTCCATGCGAAAAAGTAATAAAATTTTCCTTAAATGCATAGATACTTTTCATAATTTATTCATAAAATTTTTATTGGAAAAACTCGCCACCTCGCTAAATGAGATAAAATGGTAATTTTGGCGAAAGTATTGGAAAATGATTATATCCACTGGAAGGAAATATATATAACTCAATCGTCAAAATTACGCCAAAATAAATTTTTCTTAGCAAATCAGAATTTTTGTTTAATCGACTACAGTGATTTTTGGTAGATGCGCCTCTTAACCAATTAGAATTGGATCTAAATAATATAAGTAACGACCGTTAAATAGTTTTCTATGGAAAAAAATTAATCATTAAATTTCTTTTTTCGATTTGCATTTGGCGACGACTTTCGAAAATTAGCGAATACTTTTGACATTTGGCTAATAATTTGAAATCCTTAGCGCTGGCTCTGGTTTTGAAATTTCTTTCCCCGTAAGCAATTCAATTAAATGATTTCATAAAAATACCGGAAATATTTGATGAATAATGAATTATTAATTATACATAAATTTAAATAAATGTTTCGAAAATAATAAGCGGCAAAAAAAAATTTCCAACTCTCAGAAGCCCTGTGACCCTTTCACGGAACCCTGCTTTTCCACGGAAAACCAATTCGGGAACATTTGTTCTTGATAATCGATTTCTCTTCATATTTTATTTGTAATTAAGTTAATTTTTATTTAATTCAGTTTAAGTTTTAAATCAGTTAATTTTTATGCTTTGACGTGATATTTGATAGGTTGTTTGGAGCTTTCACTATGGACGTGATTGCTAGTTCTGCCTTTTCGACTAAAATAGATTCTCATAACGATCCAGAAAATACATTTGTTCGATACGCAAGAGATGCTTTTGGTACTAAGATCAGTTGGAGATTGCTTCTTTTTCGTAAGTATTCATTCACAATGATTTCTAATCGAATGTACAGTGAGCAAAATAAAAAAAAGGACCACCCTCTTTTGATCTAATGATCGGATCTTCAGACTCAATATTAATGGTTCGAGGGGGTGACCTCAAATATGCTCATCAATTAGTACAGACGATATTTTAAGTTACGAAATCAGACACAAAGACTGAAGAATCATACGTTTTTTTTCTCGTGACAGATTTGAATTTTTGAGCCCCCGAAACACAGGGGGCAGCCACAATCTGGGAAATATGGTCCCAATAGTTTGGCCAGGAGAGCGGTCGAAAGTTTGGACACCTTAATGCTTTCCCCGTTGGGACCCTTCTTTTTGTGTTTTTCGCCATATCTCGAGTACTTTTTGAGCTAATTGAAAAATATTTGCACACATAATTTCATAAATTTATTTATCCAACGATAATTCCATGCAAAAGGGAATTTTAGTAAATATTTGTTAGTTTATTTAATATTACTCTGAAAAATTTTGAATTGTAAGTTGTACAAATTTTTAGATCATTTTAAACAATTTAATTTTACATGGGACATAAATTGGTTGAATAGTTTTTGAGAAATTGAATTTTTAAAATACGACTTTTTTAAAATTGGATATCTTAGGAACTATTTGACCGATTTCACTAAAATTTTGTATTTTGACATGAAAAACTATATTTTTTAAAATGATGTAAAAATTGTATAGCTTACAATTAAAAATTTTTTAGACTAATATTACTTAAAATAATAAAAAATGATAAATAATTATTAAAAGTTATTTTTTGCATGGAATTATCTTTAGATAAATGAATTTTATGATTGTGAACAAAAATTTTTCAATTCGCTTAAAAAGTAATCGAGCTATGGCAAAATGCGCAAAAAGTAAAATTAACATTATGGGATTCAAACTTTAAACCGCTCTTCTGGTTAAACTATTGGACCCATATTTACCAGATTACGGCTGCCCCCTATGTTTCGGGGGTCAGAAATCTGAATCAACCGAGAAAAAAACAAGATATGTTTATTAAAAAAAAAGTACGTTTTTATGTCTTATTTCATAACTTAAAATATCGTCTGTGCATATTTTTTAGCATATTTGAGATTACCTCTTTAAATCATTAAGTCCTAGAAGATCAGATCATTAGACCAAAAGTTATTGAGTGTGGTTTGTATTTTATTTTGCGCACTGTACAGATTAGGGTAAGTCAAAACGAATGTCTAAATTTCATGAATGCTTTACGCATAAAATGCATATAGCGCAACAAGCAAATGTATACTCCTGTCAAATGTTCGATGCGCGTTTCTTTTCTTATACGGCATACGCACCTCCTTATCATTGCCAAGCACCTAGCCCCCTGTTAAGGGCTTTATATTTTAACAGCTAGGAATGCCATGTCATTTAGACCGTGGGCAGAGGACGCTGAGAACGCCTGAGCTGGTACCCCTTCCCTAAACTTTCACATCACAGCCAACGATAAGATTTTCATCCAGGACAGAGTTAACGCGCACCTTACTGCTGTTATTTTTTGGGCTTCCAGGCACGAACTCATGACTCTTATATGGTGTCTAGCTGCTATCGATTATTCTGGATAGCAGCTGTGATACAGACTATCAAATCAGTTGGGCCTGGAGACGCATACACGCGATCTTTTACGAACTCTCAGCGGAAGAAAATCGCATCGGGGTTGAGAATTGGTTATCGTGGTGACCAATGTAAGAGTGCGGTAGATAAGCGACCGACCCACCGTTGTGGTAACGTGTTATTGAAGTGGCGTTGTTTTTTCGCATTTTGTTTCCACAGAAAAAGTGAATGATAAGTGGACCTATGAAATCGGGGATTTGTTTAGACTTAACGTGTTGATATGATTGTTGATATGTTGTGTGATAAAGTGTTGAGATATTGTTTGATAAAGTGTTTTTATTTATTTTAGTGCTCTCACCCAAATTAATGAACTTCTTTAAGATAAAAGTTTCTAACCCAACCGTCACAAACTTTTTCAGCGAAGTGACTGCGCAGATTATAGCTGAAAGAAGAAGGACAAAACAAGTAGGCTCATTTTATTGTTGAATTTTCGCTTATTTGTGTATTTTATTATAAATCACTTTCTAGTTGGTCCAAGTAGAATCTTACAATAAAAATTTTGTCCACTTTCAGACTAGCTAGAGCATAGGTTCCCAAAGCGAGCGCTATCGCTCTCTCCAGTGGGCGGTGAAGACTTTAAGGGCGCACTAGCAAAATTTTTTGTTATTTAAGAGATGTTGGAGATTTCTAGAGGGTTGTTAACACACTATGGATGAAATTAGATTTGCATACACTTTAAAATTCATAATTACACCTCTCAAAAAACTAAGGGAGCGCGTGGATTTAACAAAATTACGGAAATATTTTTTCTGATAACTAAGCCAAAACAAAATATCCATAATCTTAAGTATAGCAGAAAAATACAGAAAAAAATTTAGATGTAACCAGGAAAAGGATTTAACCAGTGAAAGGACCAAAATCAAAAGCCATGAAAAGGATTTAAGTGCAAAAATCTTGATTTTGCAGAAGCTGCTGTCTTTTATTGTTACCTGTGTGGTAAAATTAAACCTTTCGACTTCTGTTTTGAGGCAAATTTACTTACAAATGACACGACAACGTGATCTACCTGAATTCATGGCTAGACATAATATCCGAAGCCTGTAGTTCGGGCAAACAGACAGAAGTGTAGAGGACGCAGTTGAAATTACAAGAAGTGGTGTCATTGCAAATCTGATATCGAATCTGAAGAATAGGACATGTTTAATATAGTCCAAAACTAGGTCGTCCACGTTATACCACAGCAAATAATGACCGATATCTCCAGTTAATAGCTCGTCGACACAGAACAGCCAATACCACGCTAATTGAAAGACAGTTTCTTTTGGCAACAGCAGGAAGGGTTCAAGCCAAACAAATCGAAATGGGCTTCATGAAAATGGTCCGTACGCACTCTGGTCAGTAGTATGCATTTCTTTGACAGTCAGAAACCGTGCTGCCCGAAGATAATGAGGTGAACCGGGTTCGAATCCCAGCGATGGCTGACTGATTTGAATTCTGCACCCGGCTCGCATCGACCTCAGTGCTAACATAAAAATATCTTCAGTGGTAGGCAGATCATGGGTTAGAGTTTCCTTGCTGTCAGGCTAAGCGTGGGAGATTCCCGTGACTTTCCTCTCCACGTGACGCAAATGCGGGTTAGTTCCATCAAAAAATCAAATTTCTCCCAATACTTGATCCAGAAATTTCCCTGTCTTCTGCTCAACATTACAAGGCTACGTAGTTGAATATTACTAGGAGTAAACCCAAAAATTGAATTGGCTGTTCAAAGACGGTTATAAAATTAAAAATATTCGTTCAGGAAGGATCACATTACAGACAAGGTGGTTTGTTTGTATCAGCTGGAATCAGCATAGTTGAACGTACTGACCTGCATTTAATTCAGAAATGCAATTTGACGGCTTAAAGATATGCAGACGAGACCGCATGTCGTATCTTACGCAGCAGTCATCGGTGATTACTTTCTTTTAGTAAAGGATAATGTTAGACCTTATACCGCCTGTCTTGTAGAGAACTTTCTTGAAGCTAATCCAGCTAGCGTGGGATGTACTCGGACAACGTGTTGCTGCAAGTCCAAGACTTGGAGATAGCACTTCGTCAAGAGTGGAACAGTATTCCCCAAAGTCTTATTGATATCCTTATCGCATCCATGTAAAATAGGTGTACGTTCGAGGAATCACACACTATATTAAACATCATTTCAGTACAGTCAGTTTTTTTGTCCTTTACATGTTATCGTTGCCTTTGAAACATCATTTTATGTTATTTGCATATATGTAGACCAGAAATGATTTTCTTCAACTGTTGATGGACACGGCTGAAGAGACATATAAGAGTGAGAAAAAAGATGATGTGGATGATGATGACATTGCTGCAAAGTATGGACAAGATTTCGTCAACCAAACCATTTTTAATACATCGGAACATAAAAGTAAGAATCATTTTCATCATGCTTTGTTTGGATCGCGAGTGCGGCAATTATAAATAAGTTTCGAAAAATGGTCCCCCCTCCTTTTTTTTAATAATCGGGAAATATAAATTGCTCTACATTGAAGAGCTAATAAGCTTTTAAGAGTGAATAATCGAATTATACCGTATCCGCCGTTTTCCTAAATGATATATGTGTATATTCATATTATAAGAGCATCAAGAAGAAATCATGTCAATAAATAATCAACCAATAAATCAAACAATATATAAATAAAAAAAAAATGACTTTAAAAGTAAATTTGCATAGCTGAGCCCCATAATGGCTTTATTTAGGGTCCTTAATTGTTTTTCTTTTATTAGTTTTTTTTTCGAAAATATTTTCAAAAATGATATTAGTTCATCAAAATTTTTTATTATTTAACTTTAATTGTATTTAAATTCTCACGAAAGATGATCTTCAGTTTATCCAATATCTTCAGTTATTTTCGTTTAATTAATTGTATTTAAAATTTTGTAATTGAAGATCTTCAATGAGGTTTTACTTTTATTGCATTTTAATTTTTATAATAGATGATCTTCATTTCGTTCAAGATCTTCAATTATTTCTCCTTAATTGTACTTCAAATTTTTGGATAGAAAAAAAATCTTCANGAATCATTTTCATCATGCTTTGTTTGGATCGCGAGTGCGGCAATTATAAATAAGTTTCGAAACATGGTGTTCCCCCATTTTTTTTAATAATCTGGAAATTTAAATTGCTCTACGTTGAAGAGCTAATAAGCTTTTAAAATAGAATAATCGAATTATACCGTATCCATCGTTTTCCTGAGTAATATATGTGTATATTTATATTATAAGAGCCTCAAGAAGATATGTCAATAAATAATCAACCAATAAATCAAACAATATATAAATAAATAAAAACGACTTTAAAAGAAATTTGCACAGCTGGGCCCCGTAATGGCTTTATTTAGGGTCTTTAATTGTTTTTCTTTTATTAGTTTTTTTCCAAATTATTTTAATAAATGATATTATTTCATCAAGATTTTATATTATTTAACCTTAATTGTATTTCAATTCCCACGAAAAATTATCTTCAGTTATTTTAGTTTAGTTGTATTTAAAATTTCGTAATTGAAGATATTCAATGAGGTTTTGCTTTTATTGCATTTCAGGTTTTATAATAGATGATCTTCAATTCATTAAAGATCTTCAACCGTTTGCTGTTTCACTATAAGTGATCTTTCAATTTATTCACTTTTATTCGTATTTCAGACCTCTCGATGGATGAGTTGGTGGCCCAGTGTGTCATTTTCTTTTTGGCTGGCTATGAAACCACAGCAACATTATTAACTTACGTCCTGTACTGCCTGGCCCTGAATGGGGACATTCAAGAGAAAGCTTACCAGGAAATTACACAATGCTTAAAAGAGACAAATGTAAGAAAGTATTTCAACACATCTGGTAATAGTATAAATAATAACGGATGAACGTTTTTTCCCGTACCACCTATTTTCCTATGTAATAACATAGGAAAATAGATTTAGTTCTGTGCAGAGAAGAATGTAGATTGACTTTTTTAGCGACCACTATAGGGTTAATTCTTATATCTAGTCTAAGCAAAATCCCGGTTGCAGAATTTAATAGAGTGAATCTGCTGTACCGTCTTCAAAAATCCAAATTTGCCTGTGACCTTAACGTAGTCAGTCGCAGATTATTATTTCCTTTTATTTTACAACTGGCGTTGAATAACAGAACCAATTACGATTCAATGTTAGATGGATTACTGGTTTGAATCCCCTTGTCATCGGACATGGCTTAGTAGGTTTCAGTGGTTTTTCTCTGCAAGTAACGCAAATACAGGTTAGTTCCCTGGGAAAATTCTTTATGATGGCAAGTTTGTCCCGATGCTTGATCCAGGAGCTCTTTTGTTTTCTAGGTTGGATTTAATGTTGAACATTGATAGTCCCCAACTTAAAATTCGATCGGTTATTCAACACTGGTTATAAAATTAAATATAAATGTCATGTATCAAATGATACTAAACGCGTGGCAAAATGTTCATTCGAATAACAAAATAAAATCTTTTAAAAAACTGGGGAATTTTAAATTTCCTGGATGAGGTGAAGATGATTTTTTGTGGGACTCAATACATGTGAATGAACTAGAATCCGTATTCCAATGCAAAGCTTGGTTCCGTATGACGATACTGCTAATATTATTGAATCTGACACATAATATAATGTTCCAGAATCTTTAAATATGAAGCTTTATAGTATGTTTTCTAAGTCTTCATTGTTTAATACTTTTTGAATATTCTTGAAAACTCAACTTTCGTTATCCCTAATTTTTTCTGAACAGAATTTAAGTATTTTTTCCAAAAAAAGTCCTTTACATGTAAAGAACATATGATAAGATGCATATCAAAAATAGTTTTTGAAAGGGAAAAATTGATGCAGAGTTATTCATATATATATATCACTGTTCATTAGGTATCGATATTTCATGATCAACGAATATCCGATTTTTTTGGGATTTGTAATTTTGGGGATTTGTAAAGTCGACATCAGGATATACGGTAATTAATGAAAGTTTTTTTGGTATAAAATCAAGTTAAGGTAAATTTTTTACTTTTAAAAAAGGCGAAAAATGTCTCGAAACGAAAGGAAAAGAAAGCAGAACTAATTCATTTTCTCTTTACCAGACGCGATATAGTAACGTTTTATTTATTTATTATTTATTTATTTTTTTTATTTTTTTTTAATGAAAAATGTATTTTCTTTAACGTGCCAAACATAGTAGTCTACTAAGTCATCCTTTCGTACAGGCTTAAAATTATTTTAAAATCTAATAGCATTAAAAACATAGCTGTTTTTAAATCTACTATTTTACTTAAATGTTATTGATTCTTTAAACATGCATATTTTATTTAAATATAGGGTGAATTGACATACGAAGCTTTACACAACATGAAATATTTAGATAACATCATTTCAGAGACTTTAAGACTCTATTCGCCAGCAGTGAGGTAAGTAAATTCGTTCTTCTCGTCATATGCTAAGCTTGTAGCTCTCTTAGCAGACGATTAGTTCAGAAGATGATTAGAATTTTAGTTTTGTGTAGTTTTTATATAAAAAAAAAATTCAAATTTGCTCCATGTTTTAATTTTATGTATTTATATTCCTGTTAAATTATTTAGTGCTAAGATAGCTCAGATAATACTGGCAAAATTTAATGGATAAAAGAAAAAGATAATACTAATTGATTTATTATCATTTTTTTCCTTTAATTTATTCCCAAGCAGGTTATAGGTAAAAGAAGTCCCATTACAGTATTCTTAAACGTGAAAAATTTATGTGGAAAATTAAGAGCCCCAAAAGCTCTCTGTAATTCAACCACTCTTGTTTATTATTGTCTATGCATAAATTTGTAAAATAAACTGCCATTCGGCTGTGAAGAAATGTTGCTATAGCCTAAGGAAATATTTTATCATATACTTCTCCCTTATACTTATGACACAAACTTATCATCAAATATGGTACAAAATTTGCTAAATTTAAAATATATATATATATATATAAAATTTGCCATACGCTTATACCATACGTTTATGGCTAAATTCTACCATTGGCAAAACAACCACAGGAATATTTAATATAGGAATTATATTTATATAGGAATATTTATGCAGGAATTTTATTAATTTTTTATGGCAAACCTATGGCAAATTTTCCTAAGCCAATGGGGTCTAAGCGCCCATTCAATTATCCCCATTAGTAGCCAGGTTATAGGTAAAAGAATCCCATTACCGTCGGTCTAAATGTAAAAAATTTATGTGGACTTAATTTCATCCTACAAATTTGTTGCTTGCAATTCCAAAGTTTTTGTTCTTCACATGCAAAAGTATTTAGTATTTCAGCAGTTTGTAAAGATATATAGTTTTACCTGTATATTCTTTTTGCTGAACTCGGATGCATTAAAAAATTTTTTTATGCATATTCATGAAAAAAAACCTTAACATAATAATGGAACAGTATAGAAAAGTATAGTTTCCTATCAATCCACATGAGACATTAAATTGGTTATTTTAATTCCTTTTTATTTTTAATTGTGGTACCCTTTGAATATTGGTAATTTTTTCAGAAAACAAAAACGTTACAAACATAGGAAAGTAGCCTTAATCGTACCATTTTTCGCATTTTAATTTTTATCAATTACAAATCACTGATAATTACAATTGAAATATCTTATAGCTTCTTTTCTTATAGCTATTCAGCTTCTAAAATTATTATTATTTGGTTGTGCAGTAAGTACTTTAAATTGTTTTCAGAAACCGCTTACAAGTTGCCTAATTCGTACCAACCTCAAAAGTATTGAGCATTTATAATTAGGTGAATAAGTATACTACGAATAATCCAGAATAATTTTTTAATAGCATAAGAGGTATTGAGATATTAAATATTTGAAATGTAACAAGTATGGTGACAGCATTATAAGCTTACAAAATGTTAATGGAACATGATGTGATGGGTAGCAGAGTTCTATTGGGATTTTATATGTGCTGTTTGTTGAAACAGGACTTTATTTTTCTGTATGGATCTCCACGTCATGAAAGATTCCTAATTTATTCGCTAAGGCTTTCTCTGCTCAATAATTGTTTAGAAATCAGAAGTGGTACGATTTGGGCAACTTTTCCTTATGCAACCAACCTGTTTTTTTCAAGTCAAGCTTCAGCAATTGCCCTTTTGCGACTTAAGTCAGAAAGGTGACCCTTTCGTTTGGCAAGAGAGCACCGCAAAGGAGAAAATAAATCTTAGCTCCGATCCCACTGATAGATGGCAGCACTACTCATTCATGAGGCCGTTTCCTCATAAACATAGATCTGAATGGAAAGGAAATTTTCTCCAGATTCGATCGTGTGCCCATGGTGCCGAATCTGATAAAATTATTAGACCCTAGATGGCGTCTTATATTAAAGATGTAATTCAGAGCCACTAGATGGCGCCTTATAATGAAAATCTGAGATTGATTTAAGAATTCAATGAAGGCCTAATGTACCAAAATAAAATTTTGCTATTGTTTGAAACGAGAGCTCATCCTTGAATTTACTCATGGTACTGCTTAACGACAGACTGTATGACTTTCGATTAAACATATTTTACGAGAACATATGTCTTATGTCCTCGGTGGGTCTTAACGGAGTCGAGGATCGAACCCCGAACCGGAGACTGGATCTCTAATCAACGTGAATTGGATGACGTTATTGATTGGTGATGGCATGTATTGTAGTTTATAGGCGAAAATTAAATAGCTCTTTTTCCCTTCCCCTAGATCTGAAAGAAAGGTTGCATCAGAATATAAACTGGGTGACACCGGTATTGTTTTGGAAAAAGACATGATTGTTGGCATTCCTATATTTGCTATCCACCGGGATCCAAAATATTATCCAAATCCTGAGAAATTCGATCCAGATAGGTAACCGTTTTAATAATTTTTTATTTTACTCGTGGTTTCTAAATTTTTCAAATTATTTTGTAAAGATATTTTCTGTTAATTTCTTTATATCATTTTTAATATCATTTCCTCTTCTTGTTGTTTTATTTAGTAAATGTTTTAGTCAGTGTTGTGTGTGTGTGTTTTATTTAGTAAATGTTTTTCATTAATAAGTCAAAAGGACGATTTAAAATGATTAAAATTTTTAAGAGAAAATGATAATTATTATTTTTAAAAAATAAAATTCGAGATAATGACTAAAATATATGTATTAAAATAGAAATTAAAAATAATTATTTAATTTAAGAAAAATAATTCAAAATAATGATTAAAATACATGAAATTGATAATAAAAAATAATAGTTTAAAAAAATTTAAAAAAAGTATTTAAAAATAGAAAACATTGTTTACAAATACTTATTCCTCTTATCACTAACGTAGATTAATTTCTTCAAATAATAATCTACATTAGTGATTTAATTTATAAAGTATAGAAAAAATGTGAAGCTTCCAATACTGATTTTTTTTCTTCTTCAAAGCATCAAAATGCAAATATATATTTTAATAATTGCAATTTGGTATTTTAAAAAGATATTCAATAGTTTGAACTTCATAGTTTATTCTTGATACATCTGAACTCTGTCCCCCCTCCCCTATATTTTTAGTTTTAACTAATGTAGTTGAAAGGATTTGTTAAATGTTTGAAAGAAAAGGAAGGCATTCTCTGACGCTTTGTAACACATTATTTTAATAGGCAATGCAAACTATAATGTTTTGTTTACTTAATATTTCAGATTTTCAGCTAAAGAGATAGCTAAAAGAGATTCCTACGTGTATCTACCCTTCGGACATGGTCCGAGAAATTGTGTCGGCATGAGGTTCGCTTTACTTGAAGCCAAAGTCTGTCTCGTATATATTATCAGCTGCTTTAAGACTAAGCCATGTGATAAGACACCAGTGAGTACTCTTTCATTCGCTCATTCTTCTTACGTGATAGCATATAATGAATTTACATGGTTTTTAGAAGTTTCGTCGCCAAGGAAAATGAAAAAAATCTACAGCTTAAATGCCTTGCACCTTGAAACAAAACGATTTTAAACTGTATGCATGATCTTGCCGTGAAGAATTATCTGGGTTTTAGAACGAACGAATAGCATACATATTTCAAAAGTTATTAAACTTTTAAAAAATAGCGAATTTGGCGACGTCTTTCCACCTAGATGAAAATTATCAAAATCTCTGCCTCATTCTCAGTTTTTGCAAATTTATATAAGCCCAGATAATGCAGCAAGTTTTTAAATCATAAAATATTGGACCACAAGCACTTTTCATTTCCACAAAACTGCGGATTTCCCCCAAATTGACTTTTTGCTCATTTTTCAGAATTAAGCATGGTCAGTGCTAGCTTTAAAAAGGCTAAACTTGTCTTAGCAGTCATGATTAACTGTTGCAAACTCGCAGCAGTTAAGAAAATAGCATATTATTCACAAAAAAGCATCATTTCATATAACGCCGAATAGTTCTCACCGGTTGAAAATCGGCAATTTCAACTTTTTTTAATTATCTACTTAGTTTATAAGCTTCACAGAAGCCTTTAAATTCTTGATCACACAAATGCTAGTTAGTTTCATCAAAAGTCCTTCATGAAGGCTAGTTTGAATTCTGGGCCGGTTCGAAATTACAAGCTATGGAGTTGAGCATTGACAGTCGTAAACTCAGAATCATGTCAGCTGTTCCATGCCGGTAATAAAACATAAAATATTAATACACCTTAGTCAACTTAACATTGTTACTTTTAATAGTACATTTATCTATTTAGTGTGACGTAACCTCTGTCAAACTACATCATCTCTGTTTTACCATTAATGAGATAACTATTTTAAACTATGATTTAACTTATATACATTAATTCAGAAACCTTTGAAGAAGTAACCCAGTTCAACGAATTACTAATTAAAGCTTTAAAATATGGTTGAGTCGATATTTTTTATCCCAATCTATTTTTGTGAAACAACTATTTGTATTTTCAGGTACCCATGAAGTTTAACCACAACGCTTTTGGTATTCTTCAACCCAAAGATGTTTTTCTGGCTACAGAAATAAGAAAAGATTGTCTACTCAAGCCTTAAATACTGATGATGTAAATTTAATGTTCCATCTGCATGAAAATTTTTTCATGCTTTTAATTGCCGACTAGTTTTTGTGAAACAATATTAATTAGTATCGTATGAAGTGATATCATATGCATTGGTTCTCAAAAGATTTTGGGAAAATAATAAGAGTATTATCAAAGATTTTCCTGTTCTTTACGACGTTCATTTTTATATTTATGATGCGATTAAGAAGTAGAAATTAACATTTGCTTGCAGGGCTGTTTTGTAATTATTCCCCTTTACATCTACATCTTCTTTTCTCTTTATTCTGTTAATTGACTTTTTTCACTCTCTTTAGTAGTGATTGGTTAGATTTCGATTACTTGTTTTTCTCCTAGATAATTTATGAACTCCAATTCCCACACTTTATCGACTTCATTTTTGACAAGAAATTTTAAAAACTTGCATTGAGGGGAAGACATTACGAAACACCCTCTAATATAATTCGTGTACAATTAGTTTCGTGTATTTCCTACGTTTTGTAAATAAATAAAATGTAACGTGTTGTTCATTTTTTTAATAAAAAAATTTATTTTTAGTGTTATTTTTAACTTAGAATTTATTATTTATTTGCTTACAAAATTCGTTACATTCTTAAAAAAGTATGTCACACAAGCAGTCGACCACTATTTTTATTTTTAAAGACGACAAATATATAATATTTTTTCCTTTTACTAATAATTAATGAAAATTATATTTTTCATTCAATTGACAATTAATAAACGAATTTTGTTATTAAGTGAAGAATATTACGATTTGTTTAAAAAGCTCCCCATATATGGCGAAATACTGATTAACTTTGATTAAAATTGCAATTTAACTTTGAGAGGATCAAACTTTCAACTGTTCTCCTGCCTCAGCTATTGGAGATCCTGTTTTACAGATAGTGACTTTAAGAAATAATTTAAATCTGTTTCATTAAAAAAAAATCTGATTCGAATCAGTTGCAAGTTTTAGATTCGAATCACCGAATCAATTCAGTAATTCGAGTAATCTAATTAGTACCCAACTCTATTAAAAATATGTTTCTACTACGATACACCCTATATTTCTTAACTTTTGATGAAAAAATTTATTTTATGTGTTTTCGGGTGGCCATTAATTCTAGATGAAGTTCTTATTACTAAACGAATAGATTTCTTCAGATTCTTCCTCCTCTACTCATCGACGTTGTGTTGNAACGGAGGTCCCAAGTTAATATAGGTCAAAGAACCAATACAGTCGATGACAAATTGACAACAGGTAAGACAGAAGAACAAGGCGTAAGGAGCCAAGAAAATCTCAAATGTAAAACAAAAGGAGGTGAAGATGTAAAGTGGTAAAACAAACAATTATCAAATACAATTAAAAGGCGACGCTAAAATTTGCAAAGCAAGGAAAAGCAATGTAAAAAAACTTCAGAGAGGATTTCTTCAAAAACGACAAATATATAATATTTTTTCCTTTTACTAATAATTAATGAAAATTATATTTTTCATTCAATTGACAATTAATAAGCGATTTCTTCAGATTCTTCCTCGATTCGATTCTGAGCACCACGTTGTATTGTAGTGCTCGTAATCGTGCATGACTCGGGGTCTAGTGCTCGAGAGTCAGCGAATTAATTGGATTTCTGGTGCATCGCGGGGTTGCTTCGTAGCGATTAAGTTTTCAGATTAAGTTGGTTTATGGGTCCTTCGGGCCTGCGTCACCCATATTACTTACTTCCCTTACTAAACGAATCCCAGAGTTTGAATAACATCAAGTAAGTTATGTGCAAAAACATTATTTATTCAATGAAAATTGGTAAAACTAACATCAATGAACATTATTTGTATTCTAAAGTAGCACTTGCATTTTCATGTTACCAAAGTACTGCAGCAATCCTCGCATTCTTTAAATTAAAAACATTTATTTTATCAGCATTTTCGTAAATTATCAGCCACATTTATGTCTTCGAAAATTATTGCTTCAGAGAACTCAGTCTTCTCAAATCTTAAAGAAAGAGGAAAACATAAATAAATGAAATAAATTTAAGGTCAAAAATTGTGATTGTATGCAGCCACATAGCTTTTCAACTTTCGCAAACTTACTAATACACAATTGATAAAATTCATATAATAATTCGTTTTCTATCTTCAGCTAGACATCTACAATTGACATACAAAATCATTGGACATCAACAGTTAGACATCTCCATAGTTAGACTCCACAGCAGCGTAAACACTTATATACTTTAAAATTAAATTAGTATGTGTGTGCAGTGAACTAATTTGCTGACAAAGAACTAGATAACTTGATTTGACTACATGTTTCAAACTTAAATGAAATATAAGTCACGTAAAAGAATTGTGGTCATGGGTTACTGTTTCATAAATTAAAGGTCTGTAAGGTCAAGTTTATTAAATTTTAAGCCAGCGCCCTCTATGTAATTCTGAAAATGGCGCAAATCGTCCATATGAAAAAAAAAGCGCAGTTTAATAAAAATGAAAAGCGCTTGTGTTTTTATTTTTTACGATTTAAAAAGTTACTCCGTTATATTATCTGGGCTCGTAAAAATAAATTGAACTAATTGCAAAAAAATTTGAAAATTGAATTATTCATTGACTTTAATAATTTTTATGTAAGGGAAAAAATCTCACCAAATGGCTGGTTTTTAAAAGAGTTTAATATATATATATTTTATTACATATATATATCCAATTTTTGGGTTTACGACTACTAATGTTCAACTCCGTACCCTTGAACCCAATTAAGAAGACAAGGGGGATCAAGTATTGAGGATCAAGTATTAAGAGAAATTCGCTTTCATGGAGGACATTTTAATACAACTAACCAGCATCAGCATTTGCGTTACATGGAGAGGAAAGTCACGAAAACCTCCCACGCTTAGCCTAATGGTAAGGGCACCCAAGATCCGTCAACCACTTAGGATATTTTACGTCAGCACTGTGGACGGTACAAGCCGGATACAGAAATTGTAATTTGCGAGATCCGAACCCAGCAGCTATAGCTGGGATTCGAACCCGGTTCACCTTATTGGAAGGAGAACGCTTTATTTCCTGAGTCATCACGGCTCTAAACAACATTGGTAAACTATCTGAAGGTTCAGTTCGAAAATGTCTAGGATAACCAGGCTGGTAAAGCGTTGGGCCCATTTTTGAACATTTTATATACCTAACAAATCAAGCAAATAAACTTGTTTCAATTACTTTGATTTGTTATTTTTAATAAATACATAAAATTTCGTTAGCTTCGCTCAAATATTTTAGGAAATATGAGCATTTTTGTAAAAAACAAATTTTTTTTCCTTACGTTTTCAGCCATGACTTTAAAAATATTCAATTAAATTAAACAAAATATTTGGAGCAATGTAAAATTAATTAAAAAATTATTAGTTTTAAATTTAAAAAAAATCTCTAAAGACTGCTCAAGATATGTGTACTTAAAGTTGTTCTTGTATATTGCGCATGCGCGGAATTCTTCTTAATTTTGTAGTGAATCATAAGTGGCAACTAATAAAAAAGTCTGATTTTATAATTTTAAAAAGTTTCAAACAATTTTCCAGTAGTTCTTGTATTTTATTAAAGAAAGCTCAAAACGGAAAATTTCATTCTGTTCTTGCTGCTCGGCTGTTATTTGATTGGGTAATTTGCAATACTACATAAAAAAAATTGTGGAAAATCCCTGATCATTTTGAACTTTCTAATTAAAATTACAAAAACTGCTTAGAAAGTTGCTTAAAATTCTGTCATATTTTGAAATTTTTCTAAATTTTCTTAATTTGTTAATTTTTTTTTTAAGAAACTTTAACGTTTTTCTTATATATTAGGGGACTGAGTCCCCTGTTTGCTGTCGCTCACTAACCCCTATTATGGCTTCGCAATAATTGTCTTTTCTTGGCAGTAAGCAGTTTTTCTACTAAAGTTAAAATTATTCACTTAACATATATGTTCTAAAAGGAATTTTGTTTGCTTACTCCTGTGCATCTACCATCTACTTCCCACGTCCGAATATTACTATCTATTAGTATTATAAAAGTTTAGATCTCTTGGTGAACGGAAGTGATTTTTCAAAGTAATCTTTCTTTTAAGTAACATTTATATTCTTATAACATTATATTGTTCAAACAAATTTGATGAGTTCACAACCATAATTTAATATTCTCCCTAATAGGAATGGAAATGAATGAGGGAAAACTGAATCCTACCACGTGATTTTCCGGTCAATAAAAATGCGCCGACAACAATGGAAAACCGTATTAGACCGTTATGATTTTATGTTGCAGGTTGCAGCGACCGAACTTTAATCGTAACCGCGACAGTTAACGGTCTCCTAATTATTATTCATCAGAAGAATCCTAACCGCCATTTTAGAATGCCGCGCTGCTCTTGTTTTTACATTTTCTCTTCTTATCTTAATGTAAAATAAATACTAAATCATTCTTTTCATCTCCTGAACACAACCAACTACCACAGTGGTGACAGCCGGACGTTCAAATATTAAGGAGATAACGGTACTGTGGCTTTTAAATTTTTGTTTCGGGATGATTTCCGTATCGTGATCTACGCCAAAATTTGGCGAGATCCATACGAGTGCCTGCGGGGAGTTTTTTGAAGAGGCGTGGCCAAAAACGTCAAAGATGACGTTTTCACAAATCGTCGGGAGTGGGATGGGCTTCATGGCGTAGGAGCTGTTTGAATTACGTAAGAAACCTGAATCCCTTTTTTTGAACTGGAAGTGGAAACTATACATATATAAAAACAAAGAGACTTAGTTTTAATTTAGGAAAGGAACAATCTTTTAAATGAATATATTTAAAAAAAAAAGTTTGTTAGCATTTCTTTTAAAGTTGCTAATTATTGATTTGCAGAATACGTTCAAAACAAAACATTTAAACTCATGCAACACTGTTCTGTCAAAAAATTATTGTAATTAAACATTAAAGAAGAAGTAATTATTATTTTTAAAATAAATTCTTGTTACATATTCTTAATTGGCGAAATTTTTTCTAAAAAAGGAAATAGATTTAAAAAACAAAACAAATCAGGAGTTAATTGAACTAAAAAACATTTAATGTTATTAATAAAAATGTAAACTAAGTATTTTCTTTCATAAAAATACAGTTCAAACTTATTGTAAAATTACTTACCAGCTCTTTCAATGAAATTATTCTTAGATATATAAATAAATCACGGACGCATTGAAGGAAAAGGAAGACATAAATGAAATTTCCCGGGGGGGAGTAGGCATTCTTGCTTTTCAGTTATCGGATCACAAATTCATTAAGTAAATCAGGGGTGGCGAACCATTATGCACCAACGTGCCATTTTTTCTAAAAAAAACTTTTAATGAGGTCACACACGTGCCGACAAATAGTTTTGACATCCTGATTATTGGGTAAATAATAATACTAAATACTATCAACTTCAAAACTCTTTATTTACTACGAAAGAAAAAAAGACATTTTGCAATGTCTCAGTTATACGCGTAATTCAACTTAACACGTTTACGCCGGGGTGACCCACCGGTGGGTCACGCTAGATTGTCTCCCCTTGGCAGCGCACCGGAGTAAAAACTGGTAACATTAAATTTCATTTTTTTTTCCGGGAATAATAAAAATCCATAACTACCAATTGTTTTTAACGGGTGCAATTTTTATATTGAATTGCTTCCACGCCGTGATAAATTTCCTTACAGTGAATTGTTAATGTTGAGAATAGATTAACTCCTCTCGAATATTATCTAATATTGAAATAGTTCTTCTACCAGTATTTTCTCTTTTCCTGTACCAGTATTTTCACTTTTTCCGGCGTGAACGTGTTAAAGCAGTGTGACTTCTGTTGTTGCAGATTAGAGGACAAATAACTTATGTTAGGGTAATAAGATATTAGTTTAAGCAGAATTGTTAATTCATTTTTGCTAGTTATTTATTGCTAGCTTGTTTTTTTATGGTTATTAATTGCTTTTTTGGCATTAATTGTGTATTTTTTTGTCAATTTTTTGTGATTTTTAAATTAATTGTTAATATGCTTCATAGTGAACTTTGTGATCGGTGGCGTGCCCAAAATATTGCGTCACGTGCCATAAATGGCACGCGTGCCATTGGTTCGCCATCCCTGAAGTAGATTATAAATAATTTATAAAATACTTGGTGAATTCAGTTTTTACAAAACTGTTAATCCTTTGCTCGGCATTGATTTCATATTAAAAAATAATAATTATGCTTTTATTAAACTGCAGAAAGGTAATTACTAAAATATGAAATTAAAATTATTAGTTCTGTCGAAGTTATAATTCGAAAATTGAATTAATAAAATTTATTTAAAAATGCCAAATGTTATAACATGGGGAAAAGTTACACGTGAACATGCCTATTTAACATTAAAGCAAAACTGAATTGCCCCCTCTAAATTGCCAGCCAATTGTTGAACAAGATGACGCCCGTTCACGTGTCTCCATATGGGTAGCTTGAGGGAGAGGGGGGGCATGCTTTTTTTAATAGAAAACTGTTTCTTTATACTGTCCATATAAATGAGATATTCCATATTTTTGATGTACCCTCTTCCGAAATTGATTTATTTTCAAAATTTAAGATGATTATTTTAATGAGATATTACATATCGTTGATGTACCGTACATCCTTCCCGACCATTCAATCATGGCGACTTATAACGTCGTTGCCGAGTGGTAGGATTAAAATAGATCTTAGGCAGGGATGGAGGGTACAAAATTTATTTATTAATTATTAGACAGAGCAGTCATGAAAGTGTTCACGAAAAGTTGCGCTCCTCGGTTATATATTAGGGAAAATCTTGCAAAGTATAATCCGTGAAATGTTTCAATTTAGGGAAAGAGGGAAATCTTAGTAATTGTAATTGGTTTATGAAATGGGTCGAGGGTTTCCCACAGAGAGCAAAAGGAAAAATGTCCTGCTTTTAATTAAAAGCATAATTGAGCCAAAAATAGATTTAAGAGCAGGATGTGGCTTTTAAAAGTGTGAGAAAGAATTTCGATTTGAATGATTAATTAGGATAACAAAAAGATTAATAGAAGCTTTTTGTTACATCCCCCCTCACCAAAATTGTTTAATTACAATTCAAAAATTTTAAAAATTATCCATTTGCAAAATCTTTCCTCTAAAAGAAGCATAATTAAAATTAAAAGAATCAAATTTACGATTCTAACAAGATATAAAGTAATATGATTTATAAAAAAAAATGCGCATTTATACACATGTTAAAAATAATAACATAATTAAACTGTTCGAGGAATAAAAAAAATTGTAGTAGCGCTACCAACAAACTTAAAAGTTTGATTTTCATTTTCAATAGTTTTTGTGACTTCAGTTTTTTCAGTTCCAAGACTTTTGTTTGAAGATCACAACAAAGCTTTTGCACCGTAGTATTCCTCATAATCACACACTTTAAATAAATCCTTCAATCAATGAGAAAAAAATTAAAAAAAAAATTTTCAAAATGTGTAAGTTAAAATGTAAAACATAAAATACAAAAAAAAACAGTTTTACAGGAAAAATTTCAGTTTGAAATTATCTTCAGTGTTGTTTACCTTGTTTGAAAACAAAATAAAATAAAAATGACACCTTGGTTGTTACTCAAAATTCCAAGACTTCAGTATTTACTTCATTTCACTTTATTTATTATTTACCTTTCATATTTGTCACTTTAATAGCAAAATATTTGAAAATTTCCTGAAGTTAGGAATTTGTTTATTATCTTGGATTTGCACAATTCTGTCAATATAATTTTGACAATGGTTACGCACCATTATCACATTTAGTCTCAAGAATATTTGAAAATTCAAGATTATTTTCAGTTTTGCTATTTAAATCTTTAAGTCTACTTTATGTTTTATTTTTCTTTAAATTCACTTTATTTACATTGTTATTCTCATTTATTTCTTTTATGTCCACATTTTTCTTTTCTTTCTTTTTATTATTTCTTTTCTCTCTCTTTTATTTTTCTTGATTAATTAAACAGGACGTATAATAGAGATAAAGAAAATATAATAGTTTGGTTGATTAATATTTTGGTAGGGATAATTACTTAATCCTTCAATCATTAATGGCATAAAATCGATTTTATTTGTAAACTTAAGCTTATCAAAAAGAACACTTGCGTTATCAAGTTTTTAAAAAAAAAACATTCTCCTAATCTTACATTTTTTAAAATCTTATCCTTGTTCAGATGACTGTCAATTCTAAAGGAAAAAAAAAATAATAATAAACAAAGGTGCGCCAAACATCTCAAAGAAGAAAAAAAAATAGTGAAAGTCGAGAGGGATTTCATTACGATAATATGTGCTAACCTTGACAGCTATTGTATTTATTTATTTCTTCTTGAAGGTTGAAACAGTTTTAAAGCATTATTTTGTTCAGCGAGTTCTTTTGTATTCGATATTTTAGTAATGGCGTTTGTGGAAATTTTCGGCGGACCTCTGTTTGCTACATTTTTAATTGGAGTATTTACTTTTCTCTTGGCTTTATGGTAAGTTGAAAATGTATTGATTTTAATATTTTTTATGTCTCCATATCGTCGCTTTGAAACTAAACCGTGGTAACTGAAAAAAGCAAGTTTTTCAGGAGAGCGATTTCAAACTTTCCGCTCTAATGCTAATCGCGCCAATGCGATAACGATTTATCTGCTCTCTAAATTAACTTTATGGAACTATGACGATAACAGGTTGTTTCTCTAAAAGGGTTCCTTTTTTTACACAAAATGAATCAAATATCTCATTTTTCGATTTTTTTTTGAGTTACAACGGTTTAGTTTCAAAGCGACGATATAATAAAAGATTATTAGCGTCGCCGCAACTTTGTTTAGTATTCACATTTTGTTTAGTTGAGGAAAAACTATAAAACTTAAAAACTTGAAATTACTACGGTATGCATACAAAAGTTAATTTTTTTTATTTTTATAAATTACATGATTATTTTCATAATTTATTCAATACCATGTTATTAGAAAAATAAATATATCTACATTATTAAATTTTGCTATTTCGTTTTTTTTCCCGCTGGCTTTTTACTAAAATTCGTAATTTTCAATAAATAGTGAATTTATACAAATAACCGTATCATTAAATGATGGATTACAGTTTAAAGAATCTAAATGTAATTACATGTTTCAAAAACTTTTGCTACTTTAAAAAAAAAAGTTCCACATTTCGGACAAAACATCTGTAACTTTTCTGCGGAACACCTTTTGGAAACTGCTGTACTGTACTACTACGTTTTAGTATCTGATGATGAGCAAAGCATGAAGTCCAGCTCTAAGAATACGCAACTAAAGCGGAGAATTGTTCAGTGCGGTACGCTATTTCAGAAAGACAACTTACGGAGAGAGCAACAGACTCAGATTTAGCAGAGCATCATATTATGTACTGAGATCCAGGGTATGCGCATTGTTTGTGATCACTATAATCGACAGCTCAAAATGTATTTTTTGTAAATAACAACACTGGTTTGCACTGGACTGTAGAACACTTTATTTTTAAAGACTCACGGACTACGTCCGCCATTCANTGTCAATTCTAAAGGAAAAAAAATAATAATAAACAAAGCTGCGTCAAACATCTCAAAGAAGAAAAAAAAAATAATAAGAGTAGAGAGGGATTACATTACGATAATATGTGCTAACCTTGACAGCTATTGTATTTATTTATTTCTTCTTGAAGGTTGAAACAGTTTTAAAGCATTATTTTGTTCAGCGAGTTCTTTTGTATTCGATATTTTAGTAATGGCGTTTGTGGAAATTTTCGGCGGACCTCTGTTTGCTACATTTTTAATTGGAGTATTTACTTTTCTCTTGGCTTTATGGTAAGTTGAAAATGTATTGATTTTAATATTTTTTATGTCTCCATATCGTCGCTTTGAAACTAAACCGTGGTAACTGAAAAAAGCAAGTTTTTCAGGAGAGCGATTTCAAACTTTCCGCTCTAATGCTAATCGCGCCAATGCGATAACGATTTATCTGCTCTCTAAATTAACTTTATGGAACTATGACGATAACAGGTTGTTTCTCTAAAAGGGTTCCTTTTTTTACACAAAATGAATCAAATATCTCATTTTTCGATTTTTTTTTGAGTTACAACGGTTTAGTTTCAAAGCGACGATATAATAAAAGATTATTAGCGTCGCCGCAACTTTGTTTAGTATTCACATTTTGTTTAGTTGAGGAAAAACTATAAAACTTAAAAACTTGAAATTACTACGGTATGCATACAAAAGTTAATTTTTTTTATTTTTATAAATTACATGATTATTTTCATAATTTATTCAATACCATGTTATTAGAAAAATAAATATATCTACATTATTAAATTTTGCTATTTCGTTTTTTTTTTTCACTGGCTTTTTACTAAAATTCGTAATTTTCAATAAATAGTGAATTTATACAAATAACCGTATTATTAAATGATGGATTACAGTTTAAAGAATCTAAATGTAATTACATGTTTCAAAAACCTTTGCTAGTTTAAAAAAAAAGTTCCACATTTCGGACAAAACATCTGTAACTTTTCTGTGGAACACCTTTTGGAAACTGCTGTACTGTACTACTACGTTTTAGTATCTGATGAGCAAAGCATGAAGTCCAGCTCTAAGAATACGCAACTAAAGCGGAGAATTGTTCGGTGCGGTGCGCTATTTCAGAAAGACAACTTACAGAGAGAGCAACAGACTCAGATTTAGCAGAGCATCATATTGCTGGTTCAAAACTAAAACGACACATCTGTAGGCATAATACGTTTGCAGATGTGTCGTTTTAGTTTTGAACCAGCGATATGTACTGAGATCAGGGTATGCGCATAAGAAGTAAAGTATCAGTCAGGAGGTACGTCTCCCGTCAACCGCTATTTTATTCTTTTTATGTCAAAATGTGTTAGCAGATTTAATCAACATGGATACTATAAATGTATTCTTAAAGAAATATCTTAATTAATAGTACAGTGTTTATCAATAGTGTGAAATTACAGAACCAACAATAAATGAAGAGATAAGTAGGCAGGTACTTTATTTACGTCGCACTGGAGCTGCACAATGGGCAATTGGCGACGGTCTTGGAAGCATCCATGAGGATGATCCGAAGACACCCCATCGCAATTTCGATCCTCTGCTTTGGTCGTAAGACGACCTGCGCTAAGAAACTATACTATGTATGAGTAATTGCTCGCTCATATTCGAATTGCATTAACTTATAATCGCATGCAGCTCGGACGTTTGAAGAGACGCAAAAATTATTAGACTTTACTTGCTCGGCTACTGTGGCATGGGTCATTCGCCTTTTCCATATTAAAATAAATAAATGGCAACACCATTTATAAGCAATCTTGATCCTTTGCAGAGGGGATGGCTCCTATGCTTTGGTAGCCCGACGACCAACGCGCGAAGTTGAGCACTTTACGGTAGAACAGTTAAACGAGAACCGATACCGCAAACCCTCTGTCCCTTCACAGGCTGATCAAAGTGATCACCCACTCGCTTACTGACAGCAGCCAGTGATACTTGACTTCGGTGTTCTACTGGGAACCGTGTATTTACGATCAGTCCACCTCGGAACATATAAATAAAAAGAGAAAACTTTTCTTTTTCACACTAACCTCAGTAGTGGTTGGGAGGAGAGGAGGGTGCAAACCTGTTTCAAGAACCTCTAATGTTGTGCCCCTAAATGTTGTTTTCTCCTTTATATTTAGGAGCCGCATCCAACCTTGGGGGACTGGTTTACATTATGGCTATGGGAACTACACTTCTTCCCTGGGTATATTCTTCGCATGGGGGTTGTCTAACGACGGAGGAAGAATGTATTCATTCTTATATGTCGTCTTTGTATAATTGTATTTTATTCTTTTTGTCGTAATCTTAGTTCAATGTTAGTTGTAAATGTGACTAACTGAAAACTCCTTTCAATCATAATAATAAGTATGATTACACGCAAGCAGGATTACTCTGATTTACTGTTTTACAGGTATTCCATGAAAAAGCAATCTTATTGGAAAGAGAGAAATGTGCCCTATGTCAAACCACTTCCATTCCTAGGATCTCTCTTGGACAATGTCACAATGGTAAGTATAAGATACTCCGACCCCCCAACTTAAATAGGGTATACAGAGGAAGATATTAATCTAAAAAATAAGTTCAATGCAAAACAACAGGATGGAAACGGATAATAATATGAATGTAAGGATCATACATCAAATTAAAATTTAAAATCACAAAGTGGCAATAAAAATAATTAAATTTGAATCAAATAGAATATCTTAACAGGTAAACAATTAATATTTAATGCTTCAGAACTAAAATAAAAAGCTAAAATAGTAAAAACTAAAACCACAAAGACAGATAAAAGTCAAATCTAGGTTCAATGTAAAAAATTCAAAAAGTCTTAAAAGTTTTTGAGAGATCACGAGTATTAAAAACCTTTCAATAATCACTACAAGTTAAATAGGGTTCAGTAAATCGTCAGGTCATCTTTTAAGGTGCATTTAATAATTTCGATGATAATACGCCCATTGGCTAAAGAACCAAACTATTGATGTTGATCTTCTTCATTGTCGATATAATTTCTACTTTTTTTATGCTATATTAAGGGGCTAAGACCCCTGTTCGCTAACACTCACTACCCCCAATTATTACTTCACAATAATTGCTGTTTCTTGGCATAAAACAGTTGAAATAATTCAACTAAAAATGTATGTTCTGAAAAGAACACTTGTGCTGCCACTTCCGACATTCAAATATTTCCCTTACGGTACTATTAAAATAAGGGTTCCGCAATAATTATCATCTAAAGGCTTAAAAAAAGGCTTAACATTACATGTTTTCGGTCACAAACTTATATAAATTTCGTATATACTCAATATATTGAGAAAAAATTNTTACATACGCATGTGAGACCTGGACAATGACCCGTGGAGATGAAAATATGATAGCTAGTTTTGAGAGAAAAATACTGCGAAGCATTTTTGGTGGAATAAGTAAAAACGGTACCTGGTTTAGAAGATCAAATACGGAACTCTACAAAGCATATAAAGAACCTGATGTCATTAAATTTATCAAAATTCAAAGGATTAAATGGGCAGGCCACATTATAAGAATGGAGGATAGCAGGACAACCAAAAAAGTTTTCTGTGCCAGGCCAACAGGTACAAGAAAAAGAGGACGACCAAACCTAAGATTTTTAGACTGCCTTGAAAATGGCCTACAAATTTTAAAGATAATTAACTGGAGAACCTCGGCTAAGGGAAGAATGTCTTGGCATAGGCTTGTTGAGAAGGCCAAGGCCCATCCTGGGCTGTCGTGCCAATGAGAAGAAGAGAATGAAAAGAACTAAAAACATAGACGATTTTAAAGGCAATTATGAGAAACACCGCCAAGTTCCAGCAGGCAATGAAATTGGTTTTAATTTATATTATCTCACTTTTCAAAGTAGCGATAGATTACACAGGGGAACAAATTTTTTGTTGCATTTACAGAAATGTCAGATCATGTCTGATTCGGGTGAAAATCTGCATTAATTTTGCTCCTAAAGCTGCAGATTGTTTTAAAAGGACATTTCAAATCTGTACAAGTTTAAAAACGTTCTATACAACAGGGAGGCGCTTAAATGCTGCGACAACCTTCTGGGGGAGATAGGGCGCATCTCAAATTACATAGGAACCCGTGCCCGAAAATGTCGTCGTATGTCACTAGGGATAACCTGTTCAGAAGCACACGAAGAGGTAATTCATGATAGGAAAACACCCCCAGCGGCGTATGACAATACTTCCGAGCATGGCTTTATATGCAATTTTCATTCTGATGTTTTATATCATCTGTCATTTTCATGATGAAGCCCAGATAATTTACGGCAAAATGGTACAGATAGATCAAAATTATGACTTTTATTCGTGTAAAAGGTACTTAAAATGGCGCTTTCTTATTTTCCTTAGAGAAAGAGCTTGGGGAAACAAACTTGAAATGATTATAAATCTGAGAATGATGAAAGAAACTTTTATTTATGTACTTATTTATTTATTTGTAGACTATGCAAGATCAGGACAACAAAAGATATAATACTTTGGGTCATATTTATGGGTGAGTGACATTTTAAAATATGTTTACTTACCTTCTTTTAAAGGTCATTATCTATTGCAAAATCTGCTCATAAAACATTTTTTGAATGAAAAATGATAAGTTAGGCAAAAATATGGAATCATCTTTTTGTGGAGTAGAGTTTTGAAAAGATAAAATATATTTTTTTCAAAAATGGGCCATTAATTTACTGTTAAGTGGGTAAATGAAACGTAAGCTGCCAATCAAAAACATGTATCCCTCCTTCAACCAAAAAAGCAGAAATATCCCGCTCTTCATTCAAAACCTGCTGCCTTTTATTTTTATATTCCTTAATTATTCTTATAGTTAAATAGTTGGTAATAAATTATAAGACAATATGAACCATGCATTCCTATAATTTTAATATAAATCATAATTTATGAGCTTTATGCGAATCATATTAAACTAAAATCAACTTTTTTTTGAAGTAAAAAGCTCTTGCTTTAATTAATATTTGTATTAATTAAAATGTTACTGAATTATTGCTGACTGATTAATTACTGATACCTGCACTCTACATACATGTAAAATCATCATTAAAAGTCAAGCATCATAGGCATAATTTATTTTACTTCAAAATCATTCAATGCTGCTTAGGTAAATAAACAAAGAAAAACTTCCTAAATGAATATTTTACTTAAATCATATTATTCGTTATTATCCTTCTTTTTGTCGAATATGATTATGCGTGTGTGATATATAGAATGTTCAAAATGCACAAAACCAGTCAAATATCTAAAAAAAACCGCTTCGTACGCATTAAGAAATATTTAAAAAATATGCATTCCATGTTGCAAAATTCGACCCCCCTCCCTTTAACCAAGCCACATCGAATTTGGTGTCACTAGATAGATTTTTTTGAAGCCTAATACCTAACAAACCTATTTTTATTTTTAAACAATTTTATGCCATTTTTATGTTGCAATGACAGCACCACCTATATTTTGTTTTAAAATCGTTGTTGAATACCCGACCCAATTTTGGATTTATGACTAATCTTCCAAAAGACAGGAGAACTCCTGGATCTAGAATTGGGAGAAACTGTGCCTTCTTGGAGGTTTTTTTTGAAGGAACTGTGGAGGTTGGTTTATTTGGTAGAATCCCACTTGAACTCTGAAAAGAAATCTGACTCCAATTTTAGTATAATTTTCAACGTGAAAATATTCATGAGAAAGAATTATAGGTTTATGTCGCGTTACTTTATAAATAAAATTTTAAGTTTAAATAAACAGCTATCCTTATTAACACTTAAGAACTTGGTAAATTTAACTAAACATTTTAACATAAATAAAAAATAACAACTTTAATATTCAAGCAGCATAGAAAAAGTTGCAAATGAGTGACCGGCAAGAACATGCCTAACTGTTACTCAAGAACCGACGGAGAGAGAGCGAGCTGTGGAGAGGCGGCCAAGATATATCAAAATGCATCCTGTGCGGTTTTGGCCGATTTCGTACTTCACGCATATACTCCGAGGAAATCTCCATTCAGGTGTGAGGTCTACGTCATACAACAATTATCGGCACCAAGCGACGTAATCCAACGTCAGAGATTCGTAGATTCGGACTTTGCAAATCAGACCACAGCGTCACAGAACTAACCAGCCTTTACGTTACACGGAGAAGAAAACCTCTCACAGTTAAGCTGAGGGCAATGGAACTCTAACCCATGATCCGCCTACCACTGAGGATATTTTTAAGTCAAGTGCCACCTATATTTTATTTTATATTTTATAACCGTCGTTGAACAACCAACCCAATTTTTGGGTTTACGACTGCTAATGTTCAACTCCGTAGCTTTGTAATTTTGAACCCAATTCAGAAGACAAGGGAACTCCTGATATAAAACCGACCACCATTTGATCTAATGATCGGATTTTCACATTATAGGTCTCTATCTCAATGATTCGAAAGGGTTGACCTTAAACACCTAATTAATTAATGTAAACGAAGTTTTAATTGAAATCTGACACTAAAACGTACTTTCCCTGAATAAACATACCCTTTTTTGTGGTACTCGGATTTCTGACTCCGAAAATATAAGGGGTAGCCGCAACCTTGGAAATACGGTCTTGGTTAGAAGAGTGATCCAACCTCCTAATGTTAATTTTACTTTTTGCTTGTTTCACCGTTTTTCGACTACTTTCGATTGGAAAATTTTTTGCCCACAATTATAAAATTCGTTTATCCAAATATAATTTCATATAAAAAAGAATTTATAAATATTTATTATTTTATTTAATAATAGTCGGAAAATTTTTGAATTGTAAGGTATTCAATTTTTAACGTAATTTTAAAGTATGTAATTTTACATGGCAAAATGTAGAATTTGAGCGACATCGGTCGAATAGCTCCTGAGAAACTAAATTTTAAAAGAGTTCTAGATTTAGTTCTTGGAATATGGCCAAACATGCAAAATGTATAACTAGCATTAGGGGGTCCACACTTTGGATCGTTCTACTGACCAAACTATGGGGTCCATATCACCCAGATTGCGGTTACCCGCTATATATTAGGGTTTGGAAATTCGAATCCGTCGAAAAAAATTAATGTTTATTCAAAGAAATTACGTTTTTGTGTTTGATTTCGTAACGTAAAACATCGTCTGCAGTAATTAATTAACATATTCGAGGTCATCTTCGAACCATTAAGATTGAGTCCTAAAGCGTGAAGATCGGATCACTAGATTAAAAGTTATTCAGGGTTGTCCTTTTTTTGGAGCACTGTACTTCTGGATATATTGTACCATTCATTTTGGTCGCAACATGTATAATACAACAGCAGAAAATGAAAACTACTCTTTTTCATTGAATATTTTAAATTTATATGTAATAAATCAAAACAATTTTATTGATTTTAGTGTTTATGAAGCGAACAGTCCTACCCTTTCAGTGGCAGATCCGAAACTTCTCAGAGACATACTTGTCAAAGATTTTGCTAATTTTCCGAACAGAAGAGTAAGAATTTTAACATTTACCTATATTGTAATAAAAATATATTTAAATCATAAGCCTTTCGAGCCCAGCCTAAATTTATTTTAATTTTATTTCTTTTTTTAAAGCTCAAGTACAGAGATTTTTTATTCATAAAATAATTAAAATTTTTAAATGGTTTATATTTAACTAGGAGGCTTCTCCCCCTGCTCGCTGGCGCTCGCCAACTCCCAGAACTGCTTTCGCAGCTCATTTAGGATTGCTTCGCAATCCGATGCTCGCTTTGCTCGCTCATTGGATACGTTCTTAACGTCTAGCTTTTGTATACTTTTTTGAACACTGAAGTTCCGAAAACTTTTCACTGTAGAAAATTCTAAGCCTGTGCATTTCAATATTAATTTGAAATTGAAAACAGTTCACATATTTTTCTTAATCACACTATTCTAAATTTCAGTTGTTGAGAAAAGTAACTGTTGTAAGTTTTGTTTTAAAGTCTTTCCCACCAGAGGGCTAAAACCATGTGTTGTAAAACAATATGAAATAGTACTGAACGCCGGATGTAAAGCATCGGCTTCGATGAAGATAATTTTGTGAGAATTTTTTTGATA